GTCTATCACAGTCTATAGGATTTTGAATCGATGCATGCATTCAAATTCAAATTAGGTCCACCCACGCCCCACGGCCAGTGTAGCTGTCAGCTCACCTTCTTCAGAAGTGTGAAAGCTTTTGCCGGTGAAGGTGTGTTTTACGATCGGTCCATAAAGAAGTGTTGATCGGTTCAAAATGACATATGAAAAGGTTCTTTTGAATAACCTATGGATTGGCACCATGCCCACACACAATCATGAAAAATTTGAACATGTCTATGCACTGCTCACTGGCCAGTGCTGAACTGATGCCTGAATGACTGAATGAGGATAGTTGGAGACTGGTAGATTTAAAGTTTTAAAATATTAAAATGCCCCTCATAGCGTACATCAAATTGCAAGTAAAATTAGTATGTGTAAATTTACAAATTAAGGACAATAACAGCCTACAGCCACAGGGCACAGGCCACAGGTGACAGGGCCACTGTCCACACTCCACAGGGCACAGCCTTCCGGCTCACAAGGCCACAGCCCACAGCCACATGCTGACAAGCACAGGGCACAGGTGAAAGCCAGTAAACGACTGCTACAGAGCTGAGAGAGTAGGGTACCTAGGTACGGTCACTACACAGACTGACAGACACTACTCACTACGGTGTACTACGGTGAGTCGGTGACTACGTTCATACTGCTGCTAACTGCTAGTCTGCTACCTATTGATATAAAAGAGGGTTCAATTTACTAAGTTTTTAATTCCACATCTTTTCATTGATGTACGGTAGGCTTAGTTATGTTATGGAGTTCAAGTTTTACCGGTAAAAACATTCTAGAATTGATAATTCTAACGTAACGTATAATACAATTACCTATCATTATGTAAGTAGGTGGTTAGGTATGTGCATATGTGGCAATACACTACTTCGTATTCAAAGTAAATTAAAATCACTTTTAATTTTAGCCGCTTAGGTAAGGTAATTTCTTTAAAGACGTAAGACACAGAGTTAAGAACTGTCGACGTAGCTTATCAGATAACAGTCGCTTATCATACGGCACTGACAGGTCGACCAAAACTTCGGCAGTTGCTCAAGGTTCGATGCCAAAGTGTGACTAGACGTGCAGTACGCGGAGTAAAAACTTCAATTTGAGTAATTTCATTCGATTACTTGGTAATATGCATCTAATATCATTCTATTCGAAGGAAAAAGTAAAGATTAAAAGATAGTTTGCGATAGCATGAGGTGTTTTTCGCATCATTTGCAAAAGAAGTGCCTTCTTTCTCAATTTTTATCATTTGTTTCGATATATCTGAGCGATTTTGAATGTTTTCACAAAGATATAGTCACATTTTGATACAGGAAGTTTCCAATGACAAGTAGAAACACCGTGAAAATGAAATAATATAGTGGGAGCATGATATATAACATAAAGAAAATCGATTAAAATAGTGTTAATATAATTTAAAATTTTCAATAATCTCAATACTCAATAATCACGAATTTTAACTTGTTAAAATTCACACAGACATCCGTTTTCCATGGTTACAAACATTCCATATTTATCAATGCACAGCTTTCTATACGCACATTATAGCTTTAAATTCAAGTAAACAATCGAATCTAAAAAATGATAGATGGAAATGAACGAATAACAAGAACTTCGTGATAAGCTTGAACATGAACTTCCTTCATTTTATTAACTAGAGTTTGATTTATTATTATATAATATTTACAATAATTTTAAACTTTTATTTGTAGTGTTTCGTAATCCACCACTAAAATTTATAATTTATATCATGATAAGGTTTCCAAGAGTGGAAGTAATTTTGATGAGAGCTCGAATAGTAATCGTGATTGAGATGTCGACGTTTACTATTAGCCTAATTTGGCCTTACATCGATTCTACACATCACAGATCGCATAATTATAACGGCTCGCAGGAAAATGGAACAATGAACTCACTGATCCTAGTCTTAAACATCCGGCTGCCTTGCAGATTTAAACAAGAGTTTTATAATTAGTTGCGGATTTTGAACCCAACTCCCACCGCTGCAATTTTGGTGCTATTATTTTTGACCACTCTGCCACCCTGAATAGCCTCTATATGTAAATAGCAGCATGTATAAAGCAAACACAAAAATATTTTATGCTATAATATTATTCAATCTATACAGTTAAAACATTGCTATTGGTGATACGAAAGAGACGTGACGAATAAGATGCGGTTGAGCGCGTTGGTTGTGGCGTTGCTAATGGCAACGGCGTGCGAGGCCATGACTCTGGAGGAACTCAGCAACATGGTCATGAACAACCCGGAGCAGGTGATTGGTCTTTAATGAATTAACACGTTTAGATATAAAATTGCCTGTCCTATGCAACTTCTTAGGCTGTTTTATGTCCCTGTTCAAAAATTAATGCGTCAATCCTGATTCTCACGCGTGGTTTGGTGCAATAATGATAAATTTTAGCATAGGGTACTAACAATATATATTTTTTTAATTGAATTATTAGGCTTCGGGTATGTAACTAACAATATAGTATAGTAATGTCGGCCTAGGCCTAGTGTAGCCTGTCGCCGATTCTTGTACTTTTTGTGACCTGTTCACAGGAGACTGCAAAACAGGTCCTTTGACCGGAACTTCTTCAAAACTGACGTTAATTTGAAATAGATAATAGACTTCTACCAGGTAATAGATAATAAACTTCTTTTCTAGTCTGAACATATATTTCTCCACAGCTTTACCTAGTCTGTTCTTGAACGCGTTTATACTGGGAGCGTCAACGATGTCATCAGGGAGCTGTTCCACATGTCGGTGGCTCGAAGCGAGAAGTGTTGTCGCGTGGATGAGTTGCAACGCAATTTTTAGCGCATTTTCTCCTTTATGGAAAAAATGCGCTATTGTGCTCGCCATGTCCGTCTGTCCGTCCGTCTGTCTGTCTGTCCGTCCGTCCGTGACTTCAAGTTTTCGTCGACGAGAAAATGCGATGTCTATCACTCAGTGCAGTGAGTACTGTGTTTCATTTTTTTAGTTTATAGCCGTGGCTTATACTGTTGGTTCTTGTTTTAAATTCTAGTAATCCTTCTGGGACTTTGTATACCTAAACCGTGAGTATAATTTTATGCTAAGAAAATTTCATCTCTTTGTCGACATAAACTCCCAAATTTTTTTCCAAACTAGACTTTTCAACCATTACTCTCTCGTTGCACTCATATCTTCTTTCACTGTAAATGTGTAAAATCTCCTACATCTCAGTCCAGGAAATTTGATCTACTTACCAAAGAAGTTGTTTAATTCTTGGATCTTATCATACTAATGTGATAGATGACACGATAATATACTATTGGGCAATTTATTTGTTAATGCAAGTTTGATAAATTTATGCATCGGCTTGTAGAAATCTGAAATATCGTGCATGTATTTGTTCAGATATAGTATTGAAAATATGTACTCTATTGTCTTAATTTAAAGTGTTATATGGTACTAAATAGATATGGTATTGTAAATAGATATAATGCCGTTAACTTTACTGAGCTACATATGGTTCTGAGTATCCTTACCAAGTATTAATAACACTAAATATTATAAATGATGCCGAGCAGCTGTGTGACGAACAACATGCCTGCATGGGGCCATACACCGCATCTGAGTGCCGCTCGGTTTTACTGAGTAATGTATGGTACCCCGTATACATACCATGTATTAATAACACTTAATACAATACATGGATGCAGCCAGTGGATGCAGTGTACCTCGATTTTGCCATAACATTTGACAGTGTTCAGCATGGGCGGCTGTTGCGTAAAGTGAAGTCTTTGGGAATAGAGTAAAACGTACTCTGATGGATCAGAGATTTTCTAGTAGGTAGACGACAACGTATCAGTATCAACGGAACCGTGTCAGACTGGGCATCAGTGAGCAGTGACGTGTCAAAAGGAAGCGTTCTTGGGCCTATTTTGTTCGTTGCTTCTATAAACGATCTGCCAGAAGTAGTGTCAAGCGTGTGCTCCATGTACGTATGCCGACGACACAAAAGTTTATAATACAGTGAAGAATACATCAAATAAATCGCAGTTGAAAGATGATCTTGACAGTTTAGTTAACTGGGCTGATAAGTTGCAGCTGCATTTTAATGCTTACAAGTGTAAAGTACTTCACATCCGGAAGAACAATGAACAGCAAGATTACGATATGAGAAGACATGGTTGCAACGAGAGAGTGATGATTGTAAAGTCTAGTGTGGAAAAAGATTTGGGAGTTTATGTCGACAAGTAGCTGATATTTTCTAAGCATGCTGAAACGCAAGCTAATAAATCCAACAAACTTTTTGGACTGATCAGACGCTCTTACGAGTTCATAGATACAGAAACGACGAAGCAGTTGTTTGTTGCTGTCGTGTGCCAGAACCTAGACTAGAGTTAGGAAACGCCGTGTGGTCACCGAAACTTGAAAAGGACAAAAATTTAATAGAGAGTGTTCATAGAGGTGTGACAAGGATAATTCCGGGCTTGAAATGCAAGTCCTATGAAGAAAGATTAAAGACATTGAAGCTTTCAATCCTCCGTTTATCGACGTCTGCGTGGGGACCTCATTAAAGTATACAAGTATACTGTATACTGATGGTTTATACAAGGTCCCATAAGGGTTACTAGAATATGCAACAAGAACCAACACCAGGGGCCACGACCATAAACTAAAAAACTGCGTTGCAACTCATCCACGCGACAACATCTCTTCTCGCTTCGAATCACCGACATGTGGAACAGCCTCCCCGATTACATCGTTGACGCTCCGAGTATAAACGCGTTCAAGAACAGACTATAGATAAAGCTATGGAAAAATATATGTTCAGTCTTGAAATGCCTAGCACCATATCGAACTCGGTTTAAGTCTAGTAGCTATTTCAAGCTATCGTCAGTCTTGAAAAGATACGGTCAAAGTACATGCTTTTAGATCTTCTGTGAACAAGTCGCGAAAAGTAAAAGAATCGTCGACAGGCCACATCAGGCCTACTCTTTAGCGCCGACATCGCTATGCCATGTTATGTAATACGTACACCTGTCGCGTCTGATCGACTGCCCTCGGTTTTACTGAGTTATGTATGTTACCCCGTATACATACCATGTATTACTAACACTAATATAATACATGATTACGAGCAGCTGTGTGACGTAACAACATGCCAGGAGCCCTACTCCGCATCTGAGTGCCCCCCGGGCACACATTACCTGGACGGGTATGCGGTGGGAGGATGCTGTGGTGCATGCGTTCGCTTCCAGCAGGGTGAGTGAGCGACGATTACTGTTATGAAATAAAACTCATGACGCAGACAAGCAAATACTAGTTATTTACACGCTTTTCAAGTTCTTTTTTGGCTTTTTCAGAGTAGTTTACACTTTTCAATCTTATCAATATATCTGTGCTGATGAATAGGCCTGGTTAGGCCTGTCGTCGATTTTTTGTTTTTCTTGACTTGTCCAGAGATCTAAAAAACTGGTCTTTTGACCAAATCTATTCAACTGACGTTGGTTCAATTTTTTACTGGACTATTATTAGTTCAGTAGTGTAAGGCATTTCAAGACTAATCATACGAGCATAGAGTGGGTAATGATTTCTTAATTACCTTCAATGAAGTGATACTTCACTGGGACGATATGTTCAGATTGACTGCCTTGTCGGTATTTTTCTTTAGATTTTAATGTTACCGGAGCAACTGGGATATTCAGGTAAAATCTGTGAGGCAGGAAGAGGCGGTCTAATAGGCGGGGCAGTCAATCGTGGTAACTAATGATTCACTTCCTATAAGTCTGGGTGGCCGAGTGGTTTCAGATCAGAGTACCGAAATTGGAGCTTGAGTTTTAGGTTCGATTCCTGTAGCCTGATTAGAATAAGAAAAAAATATAAAAATAATAAAGTAATTTCTTATCGTCTCATATATTTTAAAGTTGGACATTCGGAGTGATTACTCCACCAAATTTACGTTACGTTCAGGTTCAAGTATTTATAACTTATCGTTTTGTCAGGTTGTCGCCGAGTGTCTGACACGTGACTAGGTTCTCGTATGAATAGGTTTCGGCAAAATATAGTACAGAGAGAGGGTTGTAATGAAACACAGGAACATATCATATTAAATTGGGAAATTCAAGTTCACATCCTACGTTAACAAAAATCTCTAGTACTTAAAAAATGTAATCTGAACACAATCAAAAGTCCAAAACCTATCAGTTTACATCATTAAAATCCTCTAATATTACCGGTAAAATGCTGATGCATTGCAGTTCCGTTGAGCCGTACGACTGTTGTAAAACGACCGTAACTCGTGACCGTATGTTCAGCGACCGTACCGCAGCTGTAGCCGCGCGTTTTCAGCCGTATTCCAAGTGATCGTACTGCCGCTGCAGCCGCGCCTCCTCGCGATCGCTGTTCTTCATAACCGTCGTGTCTCGCTGCTACAGATGCCTCACGGTCAGTCTGGCCGTAGGTTGTTTTACAACGACCGTACTTCGGAATAGTGGCGTAGTCTTACTCGTCGATGATATTATTCCAAGCTCGTTGCCGTACTGCGGTTGAAGATGACTGTGACCGTACCGCTTCTTCTTGACGAAAATTGTGACAGTATCGTACTGATGACCGTATCGGTGATAACTCCCTGTGTAGAACTCGAACTTAAATCTTCTGATGACGTGCGTTATAATCGTTGTACAACTCGTGGCCCTCTCACATTGTCTCACGGCTGAGTCGCAGTCGTAGGGTTGATGTTGATTTTCTTGACGTGCTCACCGGACTCTTGGCTGCTTCGACAAGTCCAGGTTTCTCGCGACCGTCAATGTTCGAAAACGGTAACACCGCCGGCCTCACGGCCGCGGCCGTTAAATACAGTCCGCTGACTGCAGACCGTGCTTGCGTGACGGTCACCTCCGTAGAACCAACAACCCTTGGGACAATTTTGAGGTCCTTATATAGGCAGCAGTCGCGCACAGTTAAGCCTATACCCTCGAAGTGACGCCGCGACGGTTTTGAGTTCCACAAGGTCAGCACCGTTGATACCCTCACCATTTCAAACTATAAACAAACCCTCGGTCTCACGGTCTCGAGAACAATAGCACCTTATGCAAGCTTTTACAGTTTTACCCCAAATTCATGTAGCCTTCTCAACACTTCACTCTTAGTCTCTAACTTCCAATAACTTTCTTAACTCAAGTTATTAATTAATTCACCATTAAACCACATTCTATACAGCATAATATAATTTTAAGTCAGAATTACCGAAGCTATAATCAAGCCAACTGTAGAAAGTTCTTGTTGAAATCGGCGAGATGGCAGCGCGGGTGGTTAAACCTACACGGGCAGAACCTGCATTTACTCAACTTGCTGTAGGTCTTGATCACGCAACTCACTGTTCCAATCTTGCTGTGATTAACCGCCCGGTCACCTCACCGACATCGACTAGAAATTATCACAGTTGAGTTGGCAGGTTTTATCGAACCTAATATTCTTTGCTTTCCGAATACACAGAAGGTGAAGCCTGCACTGGGAGAATAGACGATCGGATTTGTCAGAACAAGGGAGAGGACGTACCTCAGGGCTACGGCATGTGTGATGGGGTCGCAGCTACACGAGCTGTTCGTAGCTCCATCATGTCAAGAGCGGCCACCGGCGGGATTGACTCACTTAATCTGATTTTTGAGTCACCTTTTGACTTGCTACCAGTCGACAACATCCTCAGCAGCTCCTGGTGTGACTACGGCATGTACTGCACCAACAAAAAATGCGCTATTCGTACGTATAACATATACGAACAACTTTTTTTGTCCTATTTCGCCGACATGAACAACTCTACAGAATTGTGAATCAAAATAACCATATGATCAGCTTTACATAATTGCGAATCCAATATAATAAATACTATCAGATGATAAAATTGCAAGTCCTTTACTACAACATCAAAAACTTTATATTACTAATAATCCTGCCATGCGCCAGTGCTTGACATCCTGACTTGGGACAAAAAAAAACAAATAATGCATTCAGAGGAGCAGGGTCTTCTAAATTGATCAGAGTTTCGATGCTTAAGGGGAGCGTCTGGGTCAAAAACTAACTTTTTCATTTACAGACGGATTTCTTCGAAACTTGGTACACATATGTAAAACAAAAATCTAAGACTTTTTTGTTCGTGTCAATTTTCCAAAAAAAATGATAGAAAACGCGAAATTCATAGAAAACGGCAAAAAAGGGGGTCCTCAAGAAATCTATCTTCTCCTAGGATTTTCAAGCTACAACATTGAGAGACATATCATTCGATGCGTAAAGACCATATCTATAAAATTGCGTATACGTTTTTCGAAATTCTAATTTTTGTGGATGTGGGGTCATTTTTCGTAAAATTCCCCACCCGCCCCCCTTTCATGAAATGTCGTGAAATCATAAATCAACGTAGAGAGATGGCAGTGGTACCGTTGGATAGGGCAGAATGTCAGCTTTAAGGTGAGACTAAAAACCGGAAAAGCCAAAATTGTCGATTTTGGACCCAGACGCTCCCCTTAATTTACTTATGAAATGCGCCCAGATTTTAGTTTATGACCCATGCTGGAATAATGACTGTCTGGCCAAAAATTAACTGAGTTGACAGAAAATAATCTGAAATTAGGGAACCCCACCAGCTTAGCCCAACGTTTTTCGAGTTGGGATTTGGAAATATCGTTAATCATGAATCCATTAAATGAATTCCAAATAAAGTGAAGTTGAGTGAAGAGAAAACAATATAAATCTCAATTTGATTTCGAATTCCCATTGAACAGCTTAAAGGATTATTAAAGATGTAGTGTTATGAGAGAAATTTTTTTTAGAAAAAAATGAAGCTACCAATTGAAGTTGAAATTTTAACGAGTATTTCGATCCACCCTCCCCAGTTCTAAGATGTCTCAAAATTCCCTCGCTAAATAAGATTTCAGGTTGCGGTAAAACCGTTTACTGGCAGGCATTGCGGATATGTGCTCCAATATACCAGTGTATTACGGCATCATTTGTATCGCAGAAAACGACTAAATGACTTGTAGAATAGAAAAAATGTTTACGCGTATCGCAGAAAACGACTAAATGACTTGTAGAATAGGAAAAATGTTTACGCGTATCGCAGAAAACGACTGAATGACTTCTGGAATAGAAAAAAGTGCATTTGTATCGCAGAAAACGACTGGATGACTTGTAGAATAGAAAAAAGTTTATGTTTATCGCAGAAAACGACTGGATGAGTTGTAGAATAAAAGAAAGTTCATGTGCATCGCAGAAAACGATTGAATGACTTGTAGAATAGATAAAAAGTTTGTTTGTATCGCAGAGAGGACTGAATGACTTGTAAAATAGATAAAAAGTTCATTTGTATGGCAGAGAAGACTGAATGACTTGTAAAATAGATAAACAGTTCATGTGTATCGCAGAAAACGACTGGGTGACTTGCAAGATCACGAGCGACGCCTACGACCGCGACCTGAGCAGCGGCAACTACATAAGTTACCGCGACGACTACCGCTACCGCCCCCAGTGCTCAGCTGACGGCAGGACTTTCGCGCCCAAGCAGTGCAAGAGCTCCCCTCAAGATAGTACAAAAACGTAAGAATGATGAATGTTGACAGGATTGAGGCGTGGGAATGAGGATTTTTTAAGTAATTAAAGTGTGAGAATGCTTGGTGATGACATCAACGTAGAAGCTTAATAGGAGTATAGTAGTGTCGGCGCTGAAGAAATAGCTCCATTGCCTATTGCCCATTCATGTACTTTTTGTGCCTTGCTTACAGAAGATCGAAAAACTTGCCTTTTGATCAGATTTTTTCAAAACTGTCGTTGGTGTGAAATATCTACCGGATTTTTATCAGGCCCGTAAGGTGCTAGGCATTTTAAGACTGAGCATATACGGTTGCAGAATTTTGTCTAGTCACTTCTTGAACGAAGCGCTATCATGCAGGGCAGCTGTTCCACATGTCTGTGACTCATGAGAAGAAATGTTCTCTCATGGATGAGTCGCGCCGCAGTTTTTTTAGTTCATAGCTGTGGCCTCTGGTGTTGGTTTTTGTTTCAAACTCTATGAATCCTTCTGGGACCTTGTATAAACAATTAGTATACATGTACACTTCAATGATGTCCCCACGCAGGCGTCAATAACAGAGTTTTGGATGGAACGATGGATCACGACGATATTTGTCGGGGAAACTACAAAATAAAATAAGATATGAGTCTACCTGGAATTTAAGTATTAAAAGCAATTTAAAATTTAACTCCAATCGTTGAGAGAAGTATCTTTAGAAATTGAATGCAAGATTTGATAAACAGAAATTAAACACAAAAAACACCTATAGAGATTGAGAGCAAGGTTCGAGAACAGCACCAGTAGATATTGAGAATAAGTTGTGAGAAAAACACCTATAAAAATTGGCATTCTTAATTCGTAATTAATTACTAAATTAACGTTAAACTCCATCCTGCGGCCGATTGTCTTTATACGCCGCCAAAGATATATCTCACTTTTTGTTGACATGCTCAACCTTGAATTGTGTTGGTCAGTTGCGTGTGCGTCGACCCCAACGGTAACACCATCGAAGGCAAAGCGTTCAGCTTCCAGAAGGAGCTTTTCGAGGACATGAACTGCTGTGAGTGACCGTAACATGAAGTTCGCTCTATGGTTCTGCATGTGATACTGATATACTATTTATTTTACAATTATATATCACGTTATATCCAATTATATATCATGTTTTTGTACATCTTTTAATTCAATAATATTATCGTTAACTATGATATAAGTATATAGGAAAATATAAGAATCACTTATGCGCAGTGTGCGCTCGGCGTCAGTGGGAGCTACAGCAGATTGACCCGTCCCTGGCGACGCTGCACTGCCTAACTAACGGCAACTACGAGCGCGTCCAGTGCGAGGGCGGCTGGTGCTACTGCGTGCATCCTGAGAACGGCACTGTTTACGGCTACCAGATGCCGGAACCTGCTATGAACCTGCTCAAGTGCTGTTAGTAACTAGTGCTAGTGCTGTTAGTAGCTGCTGCTAGTGCTGTTAGTATCTAGTTTACGGCTACCAGATGCCGGAGCCTGCCATGAACCTGCTCAAGTGCTGTTAGTAACTAGTGCTAGTGCTGTTATTAGCTGCTGCTAGAGCTGTTATTAGCTGCTGCTAGTGCTGTTAGTAACTAATGCTAGTGCTGTTATTAGCTGCTGCTAGTGCTGTTAGTAACTAGTGCTAGTGCTGTTATTAGCTGCTGCTAGTGCTGTTAGTAACTAATGCTAGTGCTGTTATTAGCTGCTGCTAGTGCTATTAATAACTAGTCTACGGCTACCAGATGCCGGAGCCTGCTATGAACCTGCTCAAGTGCTGTTAGTAACTATAGTGCTAGTGTTGATAGTAGCTAGTGTGTCAGGCATCAAGTGCTGTCAGAGTCACGATAGCAGGTCGATTCAGAACGATTCCTTTATACCTTTCGCACTCAGGTTGAAAAGTTATTGAATAACTAAATATGTTCCGTTTTCAGTGAATCCCATAATACAATCAATGAAGTAATCAAATATATTTTTAATGCAGTCAACAAGACACAGATCGGTGACCTGTACCTGCGTCAGTGCGAGAGCCGGGCTCACGCCCACCAAGTCTTCGTGTCGACCATGAGGAACAAGGGGGTCCAAGTGCCCCCCTCCGACCCCGTCGCCTGCTCCATAGAGGGGGCGTATGCCACCCGTCAGTGTGTCGGCAGGTGAGCTGCATGGTCGACTAACTCTCTACTTCTACTTTTACTTCTATTTCTACTTCGTTAAACTTACTTCACTATTAAAGTAGGATTTTTGTTAACAAATTCTTTTGATTAAAATGCTTATGATTTTTTATTAAGCAGCGTGGTAGTCTAACTCTACTTTTACTTCTACGTATTTCTACTTAGTTAAACTTACTTCAATATTAAAGTAGGATTTTTGTTACAAATTTCTTTAAATTAAAATGCTTGTGATTTTTTATTAATTTGTTTTCAATCATGTTTTGGTTAGGAAGAGAATTTTTCCACAAGTGATAGTTTAATTAATATTATCGGTCTTTAGAAATGCTCCACTCGGCCGTAAATAATTATAACATTTAGCAGATTGAATTGCAAATAAACCACGAATTTAATAGCAAAGAAAACGACAGAAATGAACATTTTTTTACCGGAAACGTTACCGGGCATTATAATGAGAAAACCGTGCATTTATTTAAAATGCCCGGACATTAAAATATCGGGCATTTAATAGCTTATGCATTTGATGGGAACCGAATACAATATTTCACGAGCAATCAGTTGATGGCTTGATTGTTCATTAATATATTCTTTTTCATCATCAGTGGCTGTACGTGCAAGAACAAATACAATGCAGACTGTCTCAGCAAAGGCGAGAAAAATTGCAGTAAGTTGCCTAAACTGTGGGGATGCGTGAAAGTTTGCGGGAATAGTTGAAAAATTGCAGTGAGCTGCCTAAAGTATTGGGATGCGTGAAAGTTTGGGGGAATAGTTGAAAAATTGCAGTGAGCTGCCTAAAGTATTGGGATGCGTGAAAGTTTGGGGGAATAGTTGAAAAATTGCAGTGAGCTGCCTTAACTATTGGGATGCGTGAAAGTTTGGGAGAATAGTTGAAAAATTGCAGTGAGCTGCCTAAACCTTGGGGAGGATGGGGAGATTAGGAACAATACATATATGAAACATACAGAGCAACATTAGCACACCAGGTACGAACCATACAGAGCAACATTAATAAACCAGGTACGAACCATACAGAGCAACATTAGCAACCAAGTACGAACCATACAGAGCAACATTAATACACTATATAGGAACCATACAGAGTTGTATTAACACACAGCACACAAAATGTGTGCAGACTGCATCGCGGACAGATTGGCATTCCTGGAGAGCGGCGTTTCCTACGACATGCTACAGTGTGGCGAGAGTCAGGGCGGCTACTACGAGCCTGTGCAGAAGTGGAAAAGCCTGCAGGCTCTCTTCTATGTGGATGATGATGGCATACGCAAGGGTCCTGTGGTGAGTGTGGTGAATGTGGGGAGAGTCAGGGCTATGGATATATTGTATACCACCACCTAAACCTCATGAATTTATTATATTATATTGGAGCGTGCCACTTATCACTGTCGTCTTAATTAATTTTGAAGTCGCTGTAAGCGACTTAACAATCGGTTCTGAATTTAGAATCGGGTATCGTGCGGTGGAAATTCAATGCTTAATTTAAGGAGCTTGGATATGGGGGCCAATACTGGCATCCTGTCCAACTTTTAAAAAGTAACACCCAGTCCGCCACTATTTACCGCATTGGTAGCATCGAGGGCAGACGCTACTGGCAACGAAGATTCTAGAAACTTTACACGAGGCCTGTAGCATGATAACTAGTATCTGTTAGCATTTTAAAGTTGTACTGACTACTTCTACTGGCCCCGTGTACAAATATATGTGCTCCCTGCAGATGTCGGAGGGCTGCGAGACCTACATGAAGCAGGACAATATGGCCTCCTGCCAGGTGCTTGGGAATTTAATCGACCCAAGCCAGCCTAATCCCAACAGCTGGACATATTGTGACGAGGTGTGCACAAACGGCCAGGGGGGCGGGGCGACCCTCTGCCAACCATCCAATTACCTCTACAACTCCGGCAACTTCGCACCCAGCAGCAGCTCATGTCCCTAGGGGCAGGGTGCAATTCTGGGAATGCTGGCTGGTTCATGTATTAAAGATGGATCCAGTCTTGTAACTTGATCAGTTAAAAACATTAGCAAAATAAAAAATCAACTATTAGATTTCCGGGTCCGATAAGTTCTATGCACTTGTTAATATATTATCCCTTCTTAATTTCAATATGTTCCTAGGATCCTAGCTATAGCCGATTGGTTCAATGTGTACCTTCGGTGCTGTTTTCGGTCACGTTCTGGGCGGTTGATGTTGTAGTCCAGGTTTGAATAACATCACGAACAAAAAGAATGTAAGAGAACCCATTTATATAATTCGAGCAAGAACAGGCTAAACCTGAAGCTCGAAATGTTTTCTTATTTGTAAATGATAATGATTCAGTGATCAAGTGATCATATTGTTTGATTTAGTGTTATGGAGAGAAGCATGTCTGTTGCTACGCGACTATCAAGCCACCAAGTCGACGGCTGTGACTGACTGACACTTTATTTGTCAATTGTACGTCGCGGGTTTGCCAGCGCGTAGTTCTTACTTGATAAGGCGTGTAGTTTCTACTTGAAATGGCGCGTAGTTTCTACTTGACATGGCACGTGTGTCACTGTGTTGTGTCACAGTTTTTCAATTGATCGTTGGAAAAAGTGGATAGTGATCAGCAGCTGAAGCGATGTCGTCGCATTGGATGACGAGTAACCAGTTATATTATTGTTAATAGGATATTATGATTATTATATGATAAATATACGACAACCATATGTCATGATCCTGACTTGCGGTCCATCGTGATATAGTATTCCAATTGTGGTATGGATGAACTTACGTGTGGATGAGGTCACGTGTAGATGAGGTCACGTGTGAATGAGGTCACGTGTGGATGAGGTCACGTGTGAATGAGGTCCCGTGTGGATGAGGTCCCGTGTGGATGAGGTCACGTGTAGATGAGGTCCCGTGTGGATAAGGTCACGTGTGGATGAGGTCCCGTGTGGATGAGGTCCCGTGTGGATAAGGTCACGTGTAGATGAGGTCCCGTGTGGATAAGTTCACGTGTGGATGAGGTCCCGTGTGGATGAGGTCCCGTGTGGATGAGGTCCCGTGTGGATGAAGTCCCGTGAGGATGAAGTCCCGTGTGGATGAAGTCCCGTGTAGATGAAGTCCCGTGTGGATGAGGTCCCGTGTGGATGAGGTCCCGTGTGGATGAGGTCCCGTGTGGATGAGGTCCCGTGTGGATGAGGTCCCGTGTGGATGAGGTCCCGTGTGGATAAGGTCCCGTGTGGATGAGGTCCCGTGTGGATGAGGTCCCGTGTGGATAAGGTCCCGTGTGGATGAGGTCCCGTATGGATGATTTCAGTTGAGCTGATATTGTGTAAGACCGACGTCATCTGAGCGATAAGTTATTGAAATTTAATTAGGGCGCTGAGCCTTAAATGTTACCTGTTTTCGCTTCAAGCAAATAATGATGTAGAAATATTACCCTAAAAGATTTTTACGTTAATGATTTTGAATTTATCAAATCTGTTGTATGTTTCCGGGGGTGGAAAATGAAAAAAGTTCTTTCTGATTCTATTTCCTTGTATATTCGTAAGTTGTTCCTTCGCATATATTAAAAAAATTGTTTCATATTAAAATTATTCGGTAATATTTTTTTATTCCTCATTCCATGTTATGTGTCAGTAAACTGCAAGATATTGTTTTAGAAAATATTTGACATGACACATTTGCCGACGAAGAATACGGACAAGGAACACATTTATTCAAAGGCCATTCTATCAAATCTCGCTTAAGTACACATAGCGGCCTAAGTAGACGTGACGTTTGAATTTTCGTCTGGGATTGGTGGATTTAGCTTGAGAAGCCGCCAGTAATTGGCTGACGAAGTAGCTATTCCCGAGTATACTCGGACCAGCACCGGCCATGATCCGGTCAGAGGACAACCGCAAGAGGCTTCGTGACGCCTTTTACGCACCTCCGCCATGGTGAGTCTTCCCTTTACCGCACTCAGAAAAATGTGATGGTCTTTGTCCAAATAGCGATGCACTTATTGCCGACGCGTCAGTTACCCTGTCCCAGCTTGACCCAAATAATGGTACATCAGTGCTACCTCCGCTCTCTGTTCTTGCAAATGTGTCATTATTTGGACAGTACGACTCTTCCGAATTTCAGAATGCATCTTTGTGTACGGGTGGTGCATTGGTAACGCGCATTGTTGTAAATCTTCCCTCTACCATCTATGTGTACAAGTAATGTAATGGTAACGCTCATTGTTACGCTGACATAATCATGCAACTTACAAGTGTGAATAAATACGAGTAATTTGAAACGGTAGGCGTATTGGAATTCATTTAATATTTGAGCACAGAATTAATCAGTTCAAAACACCCATTTAAAAGTAAAAAAAAAACAGCAATATAAATTCTGCATTTCATTACGCTACTTGTAATTCCGGAGCTTACTTTACTGGTCTGCAGAATGTCAACCCACGTTTGAACCCTTGCATGCAGTCAGGCATTTTACTGCCAAATTTCCTTCCAATTTTCCTTGGAATCTGGATTTTTAGCGTATGGTCAATTTGGACCTAAATGCATATGTCTTTGAATTAATTCATTCCTTTTTTCACTGTATCAATTGTGTGATTGGACATTGGAGCGATCTTTCGTCTGTTCCTATTCCAGTTTTTCTAGTGCATGGCATTACTCTTTGCAACAATTTTTTTGCTTGTCAACCAACGAACTTACAACGTGAATGTGCATCATGAATGTAGTGTTTGTCACATTGGTGTGCATAGAATTTCAATCACACGTGAGAAATATCTTTTATGTGCAATTGGAGTACTGATGTGTTATTCAATCATTACGTAGTCGTATTTACCCGCGTATTGTGTTGAGTGAACAAGTCCCCCGCTTCTTCATAGTACAATGTACAGCATCTTTGAGGTACAGCAAGTACTTTCAATCCTTGGATAGTACTAGTAAAGGTAGATACACGAAAATAAAGAAGCAAATTCGAAATTTTACGAAATAATTAATGTAAAAATGAAAGGAAGACATCGATTATCCACATCAACAAAATGTGCCGGATAGAGTGCTCGATAAGAGAGCGATTAACTGTAAGTATTAATCGACTGCACTAAACTATATGAAGGTACAAAGTCTTTATTGTTTTTTTTTACAGAAGACTTTCAGGACGACTATATCAGGAAAAATTCCCCGATAGCTTTCATGATGAATTGTAAGACTTATTTGAAATAAATAAATTTGAATAGAATGCATATTTTGATTCAATTTTCAGGCATCGAACCATTTTCGTTGTTAGAAACATCTTTATAAATCGAGCCCTCTACCCTTATGAATCTGCTTAATTAGTTGTTCAACCTGCGTTGGCGATAGAATAATCTATGGCTATAAAGCATTAATCAGAATTTTGCTTATGAATCTTCAAGCCAGCTCGCTGTATGCGCGTGTTATCATAGCGGATAATCTATCACCTTACACCTCCTGGGGGGAAGGGTGGCGGTGAACTGATCATTGCCAGGCGCCCTCGCTCGGTACGGATCAATGCGGTTGCCTTGCCTGCCCGCGTGGTAGTCAGGCAACCGCATCGACTGGGGGGCGGAGGCTCTATGTTGCAAACGCTTTACTGCCACAGTACTGCAGCCTGACCTATAGCTGCTTTCATTGTTCTTATGAACCATCACGTGAGCAGTGCAACAGTGCAGTGTTACTGTAACAGTTTTACACTGTGAACTACCGCTACGTATCGGCAAATAATTAATCCAAATAGTTAGATATTCCAGTTAAAACTTTCGAAGTGTGTGAGGATGTGAGGCAATATAAAAACTCCAGTGACACGGACGTAATAGTGGTATAGCAGAAAGTCACTAAAAATGGTTAGAAGAAAGAGGATACTAAGAATATACAATAAATATTCAATACTGAACTTCAAATTCAGTATTGAAAATTAGTTTGCCATTCTAAGATGGTATACAATTTAATGTCTAAAATTATTTCTATTTAAAGTTATCATTTGTTATTAAACGAGTTGGTGTTCCCGTTAAATAATCTAAAATATTATTTTAAAATTCTTTAATGAATCAGTTGAACTACAATATGTCTTTAGATTTCACAAGTATTTCTTCCAGTGAATAAACCTCATGGGAATTGTGGCATATTACAAAAATCTTGAAATTTCCCAACAGCAGTTTACTAACCTAGTTCACTTGCATTGCACAGTAACCTAAATTAAATTTTGACATATCTTGAGGCAAATAATGTACATTATTAACCATTATTTTATTCCATAACAAAAAGCTCTACAGGGTCTAAAAAAGATCTTCAAGTTGCAGGGTTAACGGAAAGTTGAAGAGCGACGGCAACCGAAAGTTAAAGAGCAACGTTGAAAGTTGAAGGGCCTGTGAAAACGAAAAAAAGGTGAGTTTAGTAAATTTATTCATATGAATATATACTCTGGATTTGTAGTAAGTTATTGTGAACACGATAAAAGTTAAAAAAATTGATTTTCCTAGAAGATGAGTCCTAAGTGATTAAAGTTCATGGTATCATGATTGACGCAGAGAGGCGCGTGTTCGATCCCAGCTCTATGCATTAGTTTCTGGTCAGAATCGGCAAGGAGGCCGGGCGGTTCAGCAAAGCAGAATTGTAGCAGTGAGTTGCGAGTTCGAGACCGCAAAATGCTGTGAATGCTCTGCGATGTTAAGAATCGACGACAGGCCTACGGGCTACTAAACGCTGAAACCGCTATTATTAAGTGAAAGAACATGTGTTAGATGAAATATATGGACGTAAACTGTACCTGCTGTTTCATGCTCGAACACCTGCTTATGTCATTTCATGTCAGAGACACGTGCAAATGTCATAAATGTTTGCATAAAACCGTCTCGTATCCTTGCCAAAAGAAAATGTCATCTCATGCTATGGCTCCGTTCACGCACTCTCACAAAGGGAAATTTAAAATTGAGTTCAGTGTATACCACCATCTCCTTAGGACGTGAATTTTTATCAACAAGCTAAAATTGACGGAGCTTCATCATCAAACAAAAACACTGGGCCCAACCCACCGCCGAGTGGGCGACTAACACACATGAACGCTGGGCCCAACCCACCGCCAAGTGGGCGACGAACACACATGAACACTGGGCCCAACCCACCGCTAAGTGGACGACGAACACACATGAACGCTGGGCCCAACCCACCGCCAAGTGGGCGACGAACACTCATGAACGCTGGGCCCAACCCACCGCCAAGTGGGCGACGAACACTCATGAACGCTGGGCCCAACCCACCGCCAATTAAGTGGGCGACGAACACTCATGAATGCTGGGCCCAATCCACCGCCAAGTGGGCGACCAACATTCATGAACGTTTGGCCCAACTCACCGCCAAGTGGGCTATGTTATAGTCATCAACCTTTAACTGCGGTACTGGCGGTGGCCATCTAGGTTCACGGTGGCAAACGACGGACGCAGCTGTATTAGCGGCAGTTACGGTGGCCAACGGCGGTCGAGGCGGCTTGCAGTGGTCACAGCTGCATTTGGCTGTCGCACATGCAGGCGGTGGTAACAGCTGCAGTGAAAGACAGGCAGGCAGGGTAGGCGGCAGCTGCAGCTGCAGGCGGCGCGGCGGCCACAGTTGCAGACAGCTATCACGGAAGTAGGTGGCAGCCGTAGTGGCAGACGTCAGACACTACGTCCAGACGTAGTGTCCGTAGTGTCCTGGCGGTCGAAGCAGTGGCGTACCGGCAAAACATGGCGTTTCTAGGCCGCGCTATCGACATCATGAAAGATAAAAGCGGCGTTCGGGATGCAATTGCGAGAGAGCTGATTCGGTATCGAGCTGTTGGTCTCATGGTGAAGGTCGAGCAGAGCTGCCCTCGAACTTCATTGTTTTGTCGAGGACTGAGTCAAATATGCGAAAAGGCGATAAATAAAATAAGGTTATGTGGCAATTACAGATAAAATATGAAGACAATGACACTGAACTGTTATGAATTGTTCATCGAAAGTCAGCGTGATGTTTTTTTTTTTTGCTCAGAGCGTTTAAAATTAGTTGTATAGAAATTTGGTGTTAATTTCACTCTTTACCTGAAACAATGTAGAGGTCTTAAGCTCGAGCATAAACTATATTTAGAATGAATTTTGCTCTACAAAATCGCAGTCTTAAATTTGGGGTACGTGAGAGTTAGCTGTGTCGAATTAAATAATTCAGCTGGAACCTATTTTCTCATCTTTTGGAATGTTTTCGACCTTAAAATTGCAATGAGATAACTCGAATAATATTGGAATCTGGTAGAATTCCATGAATACGCTAAAGAAAATAGGATAATCCAACCTGGGGACCATTATTACCCACGTCGAGTCCCTGTTAGAGGACAGCTCTTGTCCAGTGAGCTGCAGCCTGCGAGTCATGCCAGTGGCCCAGTGAGCCCCAGTCAGTGTTGGTGCAGCCGTGGGAGAAGAAAGGTTATGATTGGTCTGAAGGCTTGCGATTCGTATGACGTGTGGTTCGCGAAATTTTCAGCTGTACATTCGTTTGCGAGAAATTTCACGGCATAAAACTTATTGGGTATACTATTCCGCGCAAAAGCTTTATTGTTGAGCTACTTAATATCATTGTATGTGGATCTTCACCAATCATTTAAACTTATTGGTAATGTGCTACCCAACGTCACACCATTTTAAGTTCACAGAGAAGAAACTTCAAGTTTTGTGCCGAAGACTTTGAATACAAAAAGTCAAGGACAAAATGCAATTGTTTGGTAATTAAATAGTTTTGATAGTAATATTGACGAGTCGATTGTCGAATAATATCGTAGCTGTACGTATCTGAGTTGATGGTTTGAAAAAAATAGAAACTGTGCTGTGTAAATCGAGCTAACATTCTGAAGCTCAAAGTGGAAGAATCCTGAAGATTTCTTGTCGAGATAGCTATATTTATCGTTCTTCTTAATCTTCCAGTCAATGTCAGTCGCAGTATTAGGTGCGTTGGAATCCCGAACGGACATCACAGACGATGACTTACAAAGTGGTCAGGTTGTTGTGACTCAAGTGACTATACGAAGGCAGGATGTGCAGGAGGGAGAAGATGTTCAAGAAGGAACTAATTTTAACGAAGACCCGCAGCCTGGGTTGCAACTGAACCGAGACGGATCTGCAAACCAAGACACAACGGATGAGACAGAGAATGGTGAGATAAATCTTCTTCATGACGTGAATAATGAACCTAAAAATGTCGAGGGTGATCTTCAAACAAACGATAAGCATGGCTACCGAACACCGAAGACGAAGAACAAGAGTGTATTGCACAAGACAGAGGAGGGGGGTGTGCAGAACTTACCTGATGACGACCGCAAAAGAAGGAGACCTAACCAGCCAACACCGTCTATCGACAGCACCAGCAGTAGTGAAAGGAATAGGGGTGAAAACGATCAAACGGAAGATAAAAAGTTTGATGGTGAACCCGAAAGAAGAAAGTCAAGAGAAAATAATGAGACTAGGATTGAGAAATCTGAGACTCCAAAGTCAGAAGCAAGTTTGAGCCCAAGCCTGGCATCTCTTCAAGAGATCAACATTGTTGATAAAGAACTAAGTGTGAATTACCATAATACGACTGAGATCGTTGCTGACAATGCAATTATTGAAACGCCTCGCTTAAAAGTCGGAAACTTTTGGGGGGAGAGCCTTGCAGCGTCAACAAGTTTCTTGCCATTGTTCCTTCCTGACTCAACCAACACACCAACGTCAGAGCACGCAGAGGACCATCATTTGCCCGAGGATGAGAGTACGTCTGAGAAAAGTAACGATTTTGGTTCCCCAGATAATGAAAAAAGCGCAAAAGTTCATCTTGACAAAAGCGGACAGTTTCCAGATGAGTTCTTCAATGCCTCAGATAAAAGTGCAACAGAGACGAAGGCTGTTGGAACGTTACAAAACGATGGAAGTGAAGTTCCCTCAATAATTCCACAGAATTTGACTTTGCGTTCCTCGACTCGTTTGTCCACATTTCATATCCCGACAGAAAAGGTTCCTAAACCTGGCCCGTTAAATGCTCTAGTATCCAACGAACTTCATAGGAAACTTCCTGCTCAAAATGCAAGTTTTTCGGTGATGCCGACGCTGCATGAGCCCCCCACTGTGGTTAGGATGAACATCCTCAAAGAAGTCCCTGGTGTCCTCAACAAGAACTTGTACACCGTCGAAGTTGGACGCACGCGCGCTAAAGCTAACAGAAACAGAATGGTCCAACAGAGGTCCTCTCTGCCTATATTCCCTTTTGATGAAGCAGGTACCTAATCATGCTAAAAACTCGAACACTTATGTTAATAATCACTCAAAAAATAACTTGCCAACTAAAGGATTTGTAAGGAAATTATTTATATGGTAAAAAGAATATTAATTTTCGAGTTGTACCCACAATTCCAAAGTACTTGTGTCGTTTCAAAATATTCATTTCGGGCGTTTCTGTTCTTGTGTACATTGTTTCTTTCTAGGCGTCCCGTACCAGCAGTGTACTATACCTTCTCACTCAACGTCCCTGTATACACTATAGTGTACGGGTGTATAGTGTATAATTTTTAAATGGCGTCGCGCGTTCCGCTCTCATACAGAACGCTTTTGATGCGGAATTGTTCATTTGTTGCAAGTTGATAACATTTCAAAGTACCGTACAACGTTTAGTTGAGAATCTAAAAAGTTTTTTCTTAGATTTTTGTTCTGTGAAGTTATGGCCTAAATAAAGAATGATATAGCGCATCTACCGGGTAACAAAATTTGTGACTTGCTAATTTCAAATGTTTTCCTGTAGTTTGAAGTCATTCATAAATCATTTCGTCATTGTTTACTAAAACTCTTTTGTACGAGGTAAAGAAAAAACGCATGAATAATCATAACGACCAAAAAATGGATATAATGTGATAAATTTTACGATTAATTTTAAATTAAGAATTAGAAAACAAACCGGCTTAGTCCGGATTTGACGCGTTTCTTCTCCTTTCAGTAAACCATTACCGGCATTTTAAATTATATTCCCTAGAGAGCTCGATAATTTTTTCTACTGTATTGTCACGATTATAATCATTTAATATGAATTTCTCAGTATTGAGGGCACTATGGATTAGTTGAGGTGCCTGGTGATATCGACGAGCAGGTGTTTGTGTTGATGGTATTGACCACCACAGGTGCACCTGCCATGTATAGTTTAGTAGTAAACATGCTTCGTCGCATTCCCGGGCATCCCACACGCGTAACTAAGGATCTTAGTCCTGTTTGTGTGGTCATTGATTCCATTGCATTGAGCTGTGTGAACCTTGAATTCTTTGCTGTGCGTTCACATTGAGCTGTGTGAACCTTGAATTCTTTGCTGTACGTTCACATTGAGCTGTGTGAACCTTGAATCCTATGCTGTACGTTCACATTGAGCTGTGTGAACCTGGAATCCTATGCTATACGTTCACATTGTTGAACCTTGAATTCTTTGCTGTTCGTTCATATTGAGCTGTGTGAACCTTGAATTCTTTGTTGTACGTTCACATTGAGCTGTGTGAACCTTGAATTATTTGCTATGCGTTAATTGGCTACTGATCTGTGTGAACCCCGGATCCTTTACTTTACGGTTCACACTGAGCTGTGTGAACCCGAAATCCTTTGCTTTACGGTTCTCATTGAGTTGTGAGAACACTGAATCTTTTGCTTTACGGTTCACAGTGATCTGTGTTAACCGTGTGAACCTGTCATACATAGTAGACCAGTACACGCGGTTCGTGCAATTTGGTCCATCACTCTAGACAGTTCTTGCTAGCAGTAGGTACTTTCTACTGTACAGTCATCTGACGAACAAGATATGTATATAGACAAACTCAAACTGTAACCGCAATATTTACGTGTTCATCTATCACACATTGACGCGTGAAATAACTTCTAAAGTTTGTGGGTAAAGTGATTAAAGTCTATGAGGAGTTCTGTGTCAAAGATATTTAACAATTCAAGGTCAGGAGTTAGTATGGCAGAGGCCCATAATTTTTGTAAGCTTATTTCATCTCTTTTTAATTTAGTAATGAAAATAAATTATCGATGGGTTTTATTTAAAAACACATGTTAGTATTCGAATAATATTAGTATTCGAATAGCAATTGTAGAATATCGGAAGTTTATGTTCATTCAAGTTATGTTCGTTTATATTTTTGACTGTGAATTCTTCTAGATCGTTTAACTGACCTGATTCGTTGTGATTTCTATTGGAATTTTTTTTGGCTGAGAACACTTAGTTTTAGATTCATTTCACTTTGGGTGTCCTATATGAATTGATTCACTCTTATTGGTTAATGAAGGGTAGTATTGCTGACTAATATTTTTAACAATTCTGAATAATTCCTGATTTTTATCGCATGTTTTTACTTGTTGTTTCAGACGTGCGTTTTGATGCAGGCGCAAGAGCGGTCAACGCTCCGACAAAGTCACAACAATACGGCCAGCTGAGTCCCGCACTCTTGACGTTCTCTGCTCCGGAGAATCAAGTCCCAAGTACAGAGAAAGAGTCTGAATCTCTAGCAGCTCTCTCGCCTTACCGCGTTCCTCATTCTCACCATCTTTCCCCGGGCCAGCCTCCATCGAACCCACTTCTTCTTAGTCATCCTTGCCATCAACACCCGGCCTTACTGAATGGGAATATTCCGTCCAGGCCACCGGAACATCCACCCTCTGGTCAAGAATACGCATCGACCTCGGATCCTCGGATTAATACACAACTTTTTCAAAATTCTTATACTCCGTCCGATTTAAATTCACTCCCATTTTCGTATCCGCCTCCTACACATTCCCCTGCGTATTCCCAACCGCCACCTACTCAAAACCCGCCACATTCATACGCCTCCGCTTCACATCCACATACAAAAGCTGATAAATATCCGTTACCACCGATTGGTCAGTCACATTTAAGTAACTACGAACGTATAAAATATCATAATGCACTGAAGAAAGATTTAGAGCATCAGTCCGGAAAACCGCTGTTAACAAAGCCGAAGAATAATACTGTCGGAAAGCCGTTGAACTCTAATTCTGTAGTTAGGAGAAACTCCACCGTAAGGAACAACATTAAAAACAGAGTTGTTTTCCACTCAGATATTGCGTCAGGATTAAGTTTCAGTGACTCAAATCTATATACGAAAAGGCCTGGTATCCTCAAATTAGGATCCCCATCAAGAAACTCGGAAGTTCATGCAGCCAAAAGTATTCCTATTGACCATGTAAGTAGTTATGCTACCAGTCCGCAGAGCACAAATTTCAAGATTACACAGAAAACGATCAGCCCTTTAGAAAACTTTTCTGCTGAACAGCCGCGGTCAATTAATCAGCTGTTCCCAGGCAGGGAAGCTATCAACCATTATCCTGCAGATCCCACACAACATCCTACATCGTTGAAACATCAATCATCATACCAACTCTCTGGCTCCAACATCACCTCTGGCATCCATCAGCAGCACCAAGACCTGCTTATACCTGCCCTACCTCGTCAGGTATGAAACGTGGCAAAGAATTTAACTCATGTTGGATTTCATAAGCATAATAAACTGAACTCGGTACAATAAAAACGTTGTAAAATTCTGCAGTGTGTGGACACTTGGTGTATTATTTGAATGTAAAACTGTACGTTAACGGTCGAATTGTGCAAACACATTTGAAATGTGTCTTCATAATAGAATTTACTTGTGCTAGGAACGCAATAATCTAGAGAATTCTAATCCAAACCCTCCTTTGTCGCCGTAACCAAATTATGTAAAATTTACTGTTTCCCATGTGCACACGCTTAAGGAAGCACGAGCCTGTAATTAAAAATTCATAATTTAGCTTTCCATGATGAGATTACGCTCCTCAGGGAGCAAATTTTGATCTCGGGTCTCTATTCCCTCTTCAGGAGCAGCACCCCCTACAACAACCATCAACGATGACGTCATACGTGTCCCAAAACTACGGGGGCTATGACGCCCAGGACTACGGGGCAGCAGCCTACGCGGCCTACGGCCCCGGCTACTCCCAGACCACGAATGCTGGTCAGTCAATATACTTAAGTCGCCAGTGCCTTTTTCTCGCCATCAGAAAAAACATTGCAGCCAAGTATATAAAATTACGCAATAATTTCTAGGTAATATCTAATTGGACAGCAAGGTTCAAGAGAGTTGTGATGGAATGATAAATTACGTCAATTATATGAAATAAAAGGTAATAGTAATTTGCTGCTGGCGCTAGTTCGCGCGACTAGTTCATGTTCATATTGTTTTTTCAATATGTGTTGTTTATTCGACACATGTGGTTTACTCGGTATACCTTGTTTATTCGATTCATATTATTCATGTTGTTGATGCAATTATTGTTGATACAATTCGCATTGTTGATGCAGTTAATGTTGATACACTTCATGTTGTTGATACAACAACTCATGTTGATACAATTCATGTTGTTGATAGGTCGGCGCCGCAGTCTGGGCTACGCTCAGGACCCCCGCGCCGGTTACCCGTGAGTTGCAGCAGCCTCCATATTTCATCTCCTCTTGCATCTGCAATATTCCAGCTATTGAATTATTATTATGGTCATATATGTATGCTTTATCGATGCTATTGGTGACACTAGAAATGTAGTTGATAACATCAGTGACGTTGATGCTGTTAACGTTGTTGATGAGGACATCCTTGATGTTGATGCTGTTGATGTGGTCTCAGGCAGCGCCGCTCCTCCAGCTTGGACTACGAGCCGGCCGCCGGGGGTCGCTACCAGGTGCGTAGTACCCTGTAAATTAAGCATGCATGATCATATTTATGACATCGGAACTCATCCATTGACCCATTAGGCCGACGACCTGTTCGAGAAATCATTCATTGACCCATAAAATCGAAGACCTGTTCGATGACTGTTTTTTGTCCCGTCATATACAAGACGACCCGTTCGATGACCGTTTTTGAGCCCGTCCGATGATTTTTTGACCCATCAGACGGCGGACGACAAGTTCGATGACTGTTTTGACAGGTCAGATGGCGGACGACTCGTTCGATGACTGTTTTTGACAGGTCAGATGGCGGACGACTCGTTCGGTGACTGTTTTTGACAGGTCATTTGACAGGTCAGATGGCGGACGACTCGTTCGATGACTGTTTTTGACAGGTCAGATGGCGGACGACTCGTTCGATGACTGTTTTTGACAGGTCAGACGGTGGACGACTCGTTCGGTGACTGTTTTTGACAGGTCAGACGGTGGACGACTCGTTCGATGACTGTTTTTGACAGGTCAGATGCCGGACGACTCGTTCGATGACTGTTTTCGACCCATCAGATGGCGGACGACTCGTTCGATGACTGTTTTTCGACCCGTCAGATGGTGGACGACCCGTTTGAAGACGGGCGCGACGCCCGTCAGCGGCTGATGCAGGACCTGGACTACCAGATCGCCGAGAAGAAGCGCCTCGAGGAGCTGCGTCGGGAGCGCGAGCGCCACGAGGACCGCCTGCTGGAGGAGAACATTGCGCGCCAGCAGAAGCAGATGGAGGACGAGTACCAGCGCGAACAGATGGTCAAGAGGATGAAGGAGGAGCAGGTATGTGTGATGGAGGAGTGGCAGGTTGGTGTGATGGAGGAGAGGCAGGTCAGTGTGATGGAGGAGTGGCAGGTTGTTGTGATGGAGGAGTGGCAGGTCAGTGTGATGGAGGAGTGGCAGGTCAGTGTGATGGAGGAGCGGCAGGTTGGTGTGATGGAGGAGTGGCAGATTGGTGTGATGGAGGAGTGGCAGGTTGGTGTAATGGAGGAGTGGCAGGTTGGTGTGATGGAGGAGTGGCAGGTTGGTGTGATGGAGGAGTGGCAGGTTGGTGTGATGGAGGAGTGGCAGGTCAGTGTGATGGAGGAGTGGCAGGTTGGTGTGATGGAGGAGTGGTAGGTTGGTGTGTTGCAGAAGTGACAAGTTTGTGTTTGGTTGGAAACATGAGATCAAAAATGTCACATTTTTTCTTTTTCTTTTTATGAACGACATCGGCACTGTTTTATTTGATAACTTATTTGTAATCATTATAAAGCGGATACTGTCATTCTCATTTGTCTGTTCATTAAGGTGCTTGTAATATGTATATCTTATTTTTTAGCGACACGAATGAGAGTGACGTTGATGAAACAATTATTCATCGGTTTTGAGAAATATTTAAAAAGTTGAAATAAATCCTTTTGTATTGTTGGTTATTGGTGCAATACTAGTTAATTGTGGTCACCGAAATAATGAGCAAGCCTAGTAACGCAACTCATTATGGCCAGTCTGTTTTGTTATCAGGCACACCATCATCACCATAAATATGACATTGTGAGCCACATAATGAGATGAATGGCATCAGATGTATCACTAATTTGTTCCTTGTGAAGCGATAGCACTTGAGATTTAGCTTTGGTCTAAACCTAGTATACCATACGTTGAGCAAAGTAGTCTTACATTAAATACATTTTTATTTTAACTCACAGCGGCGGAAGAGGAATGAGAGTCATCAGGCTTACTTGGCGACTTTGGAGCAGAAGAACAAAATCCAAACCTTGCGCCCTCCAGAAAAGAGCTTCGGTTCCAGTGACCTCAACGCCCGTAAAATAGAGGTTCAAGTTGACCCAAACTCGCAGTACGGCGCTTATGAACGAACTCCCGTCAAGGGGAAAGGAAAATACGACTTGGGATCAGCTGACAAAATCGGCCCTAAGTCGAAACCAACAATTTCTAAGTCTCCTATACCATTGAGTCCTGCGAAGACACTAAGCCCCTCTACTAAGGAATCCGCGAAAACCCCGATTTCGACCTCGACCTTAGCTTCTTCCACTAACTCCACTTCCACAAAACCTGTCGGCAAGAGTAAGCCTAGCCCTTCCCCAACCCCATCAGAAATGAAGAACGCTGCCCCCACGAAGTCTATCCTGAAGAAAATCAGCCCCACAGAGACCCCCGCGAAACAGTCAGCAGACCGGGTGGACCTCAAAGGTAATAGCAATAAGTACGAGAGAACCGCGAAGCCGGCGCCGCTCAGCAAGCTGGATGAGCCCAAACGACGCAAAATTCCTTCTGATGACGATAGGTCAGAGAGAGTTGTGCGCATACGTGGAGCCTAAAGGAGTTGTGCGCATGCGCGGACATTTAAATTCGAGAAAGTTGTGGGCATGCGTGGACATTGAGATTCGAAACTATTGTGAGCACGCGCAGATATATGCGTTCAATGAGTTGGGCACATGCGCTAATATTTTTCCGACATATGCGTGTGGAATGTAGCATTTTTTTGATCAAGAGTTTGACGCGATTGTCGTTGCAGCATCTCAAGTTTGAATCATCAGCATATTAGAAAATTTATTTAGTTTTCGTATTTAAGGAGCTTTAGTATAATTATCACCTTAATCGCCATCGCTATACACATGAATAATTTCTGCTGAACAAAATTTTTTTGGTCTACGTTTTTTGACGTTAGTTAAAATAGTATATGTAGTTGAAATAGTAGTACCTTTCAATAAATTGTTTGATGTTGAAAGTCGAACACGGGAAACGAAGGAAGTTTTTAATTCTTTCCCAGTCGTAGTGAAAAAATCTACATTCATTCCTCACATGGTTTTAATAATAATTTTTTAAACAAATCTTTCGAAGTAAATTATAAATTTAATTGAAGAAAATGTTGCTTAGCTCTTTATAATATATTGATAAATATTCATCATATATATTAATATACATTCAAAGCAGTCACTTGAGACGCTGCAATGACAATGGATGATTTTCTAATTACATTTTTTCTAAAACTTGAAACAATAAAGCAAGTCAGAGATTTCGTATCTCACCTTCATCGTGTGATATTTTCCACTTCGTCTGTTTGCATGGGGTGATCACCATGGGCCATACTTTCAAAATTCGCTAAGTGAACGTAAGTACTTACGCTCTATTTTCTTGTCTATGATTGGTGGATTTTGCTTGAAAGCCGTCAATGATTGGCTGATGAACTTACGATCACTTAAGTTTATTTGAAAGTATAGGCCCATGTTCCTAATCTGCGTGACTTAATGACTATTACAATAACAAAACTGTGACAGCGGGTGAGATGGATTTTCAGTGGTCTCGACTATTTACGGTCGGCAGTCTTCACGATGCATTCGTACGAATTGTGAAACGTGTGTTTTTTCTAACTAATATTGGGTGCGAATTTTTGATTGATAAGAGTTAAATTTGATTTTTCAAAATTTCATTGTTTTGTGCATGCCGAGCATCATTTACACCAGCATGCCGAAATTTATAAATCTTTAACTGATAAATATGATCAATTTGCTACTCATTGTTCTATGTCGTTTATTAGAGCTTCGATGAGTGGTAACATGATCAGATTTGCCTGATCTTTCTGTTAATCTGAGTACAAGAATTAATCTTTTGTATTTGCTCGCCGTTGAGGTCTTCCTTGTTCAATAGATTTGAGAAGACTCTAAATTTTGTGCCTAATGAGCTACGGTTTAGCGACTCCTTGTGGCAAATGAGTTACCGTTTTGCCACTCATTGTGGCTAAAGATCTACCGTTTAGCCACATTGTGGCAAATGAACCACGTTTGCCAAGTTCATGTAACTAATGAGGATTGGACCGGCAACGCGTTGCCGTAACAGCAAGGAATTTGCTCTACTTCTAGAAAATCGTATATTATGACGAGTTTGTTTAGTAAATATTCACGTCTCACTATCGACTCAAGAAATGAAATTTTTCCCATCGAATTCTTGTGTTGGCTAATATAAATGTATTATTATCAATAATTCACCATTTAACCTCCGCATGCAGGTTCGACTTCGGCCTGAACCTTAAGCAAGCCTCACTGAACACACTGCAGGCGCAGAGCGACGGCAACCCTTTCTTTGACAGGCAAGTGGCTTTGGGTGCCTCCTTAGGGAGCTTTATGTGACGCCTGAGGAAGCCTCCTTAGGGAGCCTTATGTGGCGCCTGAGGGAGCCTCCTTAGTCCTTAGGGAGCCTTATGTGGCGCCTGAGGGAGCCTCCTTAGTCCTTAGGGAGCCTTATGTGGCGCCTGAGGGAGCCTCCTTAGAGAGCCTTATGTGGCGCCTGAGGGAGCCTTATGTGGCGCCTGAGGGAGCCTTATGTGGCGCCTCAGGGAGCCTCCTTAGGGAGCCTTATGTGGCTTCTTAGGGAGACTCCTTAGGGAGCCTTATGTGGCGCCTGAGGGAGCCTCCTTAGGGAGCTTTATGTGACGCCTGAGGGAGCCTCCTTAGGGAGCCTTATGTGGCGCCTGAGGGAGCCTTATGTGGCGCCTGAGGGAGCCTCCTTAGGGAGCCTTATGTGGCGCCTGAGGGAGCCTTATGTAGCGCCTCAGGGAGCCTTTTTAGGGAGCCTTATGTGGCGCCTGAGGGAGCTTTATGTGGCGCCTGCGAGGGAGCCTTGGGTGCCTCTTGGGGGAGTCTTGGGCGCCTTATAAGGGAGGCTCTAGTTCTTTTTCCAAGTGCAGGAATTTTTCACAACTAGAGCCTCGTGCAAAGAAGCATTGGTGGTGCAAGACTATGAATTTGTAGTTCATAACCTGCTGGAAAACCTGTAACTAGTACAGGTTATAAGGCTAGCTGTAACTGACCACTTGTTATAACTGACTACCATATGTCTTCAAAGTGAATTTGAATTACCATTGCATTGCCCAACATTGAATTTGATTACCATTTTTAACTCTTTAGCCACCAGCTACCTTGCGAGTGCAAAATACCATATTGCATCCTTGCCACATTGCTGAAATGTATTCATTGAAAAAACCTGACAGGTGACACAAGCTTCCAACTGAGCATTACGCAGCCTGAAATTAAAACCAATATATTAAACCAATTGGACAAATGAGCTTCAAATGTAAACAAAAATCGCTCATATGAAAGGTGGCAGATAAGTAAACGGGTTACGCTAACAGGTTAACTAGATACGCTAACAGGTTAAATAGTTAAACTAGATACGCTAACGGGTTAACTAGTTCAATAGATACGCTAACAGGTTAACTAGTTAACTAGATACGCTAACGGGTTAACTACGTAACTAGATACGCTAAAGTGTAAAACTAGTTAACTAGATACGCTAACGTGTTAACTAGATACGCTAACGGGTTATCTGACCAGCGGATGACAGTTTCGCCCCTGTTCCAGCACGCTGGGACGACGGCGCAAAACGCCCGAGCCTCGCTCGCTCAAAAAGCAGTGAGTATCTGTGCGCTGCGATGCACGATTGTTCATCCACTGACTCATCTCTTTTATTCATGTTTTTATTCTGCTGCTAGTTTGTCCATCAAAGTTGATTTGTGAATACATTCCTCATTCCGGGCATAAAGTTACCCTGAATGCGGGTACGATGCACAATTAAAATGTTTGAATCATAATTTTGAGGTTTAATAAAATATTTGTAGATAATCAAGATATTAATTCCAGTGACAGAGCATCACCACAACCACCAGCACCTCAAACACCAAAACAAACGGCGTCAACAACTTCACCACCTTCTTCTCTACCAAACAACCTACATCCCAGTCAACCCCCTCCGCACCACGGCACATCCTCCTCCCCTCGCATCATGATGGACACTGAGGCCCAGACGACTTTCGTGACGACGGCGCACAACTTCGCGCAGGTGCGGGCCGAGGCCCGGAGTATGGCCGCCCAGACGCAGTCCTTCAACGTCGAAAACGGCGTCCAGACGTACGACGGCGATTTCGAGCCGTGAGTAGAGACTGCGAATTGAGATAAAATTGTATAAAAAATAATACCTAAAAATAAACAAGTTTCGTCCAGACGTGCAACGTAGACTTTAAGGAGTAAGTCGCGACCAAATTTCGCTTCTAATTCGACTAATACTAACTTAATAATTCATAGTAATATCTAATAATATGTAATAATACGTGGTGACGAATTAAAACTGAATTAAGACACTGAAATAACTCTGTACACCAATCTTTCCGTTCTATTTATCTTACAATATCAGCCTAATCAATCAAAATATAATAAACCTTCCGTTATCAATCTTCTTAAAATAATCTTCCCAGTGTAAATATCTACTACGTGTACTGCAATAGAAAAAACTAAAACTCATTCGTTGCAACGAATTTTTTTACGTTATTCACTCGAACGGGTTAGAAATTCTGAAGCTGTGTATAATGTAATTCTTTTTTTGATGAAGAGAAGAGCCGCCCAAGCCCAAACCCAAGCCCGTCCCCTTCGACTGGAAGATAAAACTGGACGACACGATGCCGCCCCACCGCCCCCACCCTCCCCGAGGGGACGCCAGGTGGGGGGGGATGGGTTTGTTCTATTATTGCTTGTGCTTATTGCTGCGGCTGGTGTTGCGGTGCTAGTAACCTTTTGTTAATAATATTGTTATTATGTTTTTTATTTATATTATTGGTATTCCTGCTGTGTTTTGTGATACACGATAAATGATGATTTTCGTATTTTCGATTTTATGTTGTCTTTCAAAACAAATTTAATTTCAGTAAGCTATTACCCTACATTAAAACAAGAGCAAGCCGTCAGCGGCGAACCCTTGAATACAAACCAAATATTATTTGATTATTGACCTTAGTTCTATGCATGACCACGTGAAACTGCAGTGAGCACATTTCCAAAATGTAAAATAAGGAAGTTTTTAAACATATTTAAATTCATTCACGTACATTCATAAAATTTAATTGATATTGAGCAGGAGTTTCCAGGAGGAGCACAAGGATCTCACGAGTCAGCTGCAGGCCATGAAGCGGGGACTCAAGGTCAGTAAATTCAGTGAGTAAATTACTGAGTAAATATGTGATTCGAAATAATAGCGGTTATATGGATTTTCAGCGGTCATTGTACATAATATAAATTTTTTTAGTCAACAGATGAATCTAGCTGCTCCTGCAAATAGTCGTAAAAGTTGTCCATAAAAAAAGTTTTCTTGCCTGTTGCACGAGTAATTGGATTTAATATACAGTATTACTTTTATGTAGTTATTTTACAAAATTATTATTTAAAAAAATTATTGTATTATTAATTAATGTTTTATAAAATTGTTGCTTTACTAAATTATTGTTGTATAAAATTATTGTTTTCGAAAATTGTTTTCTAAAATTATTGTTTTATGAATGTTTTTTTTTTATTCCAGGGCGAAGGTGAGCTGCGCGGCAGAGCTGTGCTAGGAAGTGACTCTCGTCAACAGAAACGACTTTTTTTGCTAAAAATTATTGAAGCATAAAATTTGTCAGTGTACAATAATGACACATGTATTTGGTCGCAAGCTAAATTATTTCATTCCAAATTTTTTATTTTTATTGATTTGTTCATTTTTATATTGATATTTAAATGCATTTTTACATGGATCACTTACAGTAAGTAAAAATTTGTGTCATCGAAAATGGTTAGATATACATAATATTTAGTATATTTTTAACCTTTGTCAAATCGTAACGCAATTTATAGCCCACAGCACGCGCAGTTATCGAATGTACAGGCCGGTTCAATCATGGTTAAAACGCTCATGCACAACGTAATTACCGTCAATTCCTGTAGAACTGATAAGCTCTTTTGCCGGCTCAAACTGGGTCAGGATGACGCACACACAAGCGAAAATGCTTCGCTATTTGGACAATATCTCTTACATTTCTCTGAGTTCAGGCCTTACGGTACGAATAGCATAGACGCCAGTCATTATATACATGATTTATTATTATTAATATAAATAATTATCACCGAACTGCTCGTCAACTTCTGCATGCGCAGACGACGCGTCTGGCAGCCGCCGCCACCGCGCGCGGTCCGCGTCGAGCGACGGCCCACGCGGGCCCGAGGACCCACGGGCTGCGGGGACCAAGACGCTGGCCTCTTCTTCCGACGGCCGGGACGACCCATACGGGGACGCCAGGCGGGACCGTGACGGTGTCGGGGACACGGTGCCAGAGGGTGGCCCTGGGAGACGTAGCCTCACACCTCACAGGGGTCAGTAGCGGGGCTGCTGCGTGCGTTGTGAGTGAGTCAAGCAAGAGTGAGTCAGCACCTGGCAGTTGGTGAGTCAGCACCTGGCAGTTGGTGAGTCAGCACCAGGCAGTTGGTGAGTCAGCACCTGGCAGTTGGTGAGTCAGCACCAGGCAGTTGGTGAGCCAGCACCTGGCAGTTGGTGAGTCAGCACCAGGCAGTTGGTGAGCCAGCACCTGGCAGTTGGTGAGTCAGCACCAGGCAGTTGGTGAGTCAGCACCAGGCAGTTGGTGAGTCAGCACCTGGCAGTTGGTGAGTCAGCACCAGGCAGTTGGTGAGTCAGCACCTGGCAGTTGGTGAGTCAGCACCAGGCAGTTGGTGAGTCAGCACCAGGCAGTTGGTGAGTCAGCACCTGGCAGTTGGTGAGTCAGCACCAGGCAGTTGGTGAGTCAGCACCTGGCAGTTGGTGAGTCAGCACCAGGCAGTTGGTGAGTCAGCACCAGGCAGTTGGTGAGTCAGCACCTGGCAGTTGGTGAGTCAGCACCAGGCAGTTGGTGAGTCAGCACCTGGCAGTTGGTGAGTCAGCACCAGGCAGTTGGTGAGTCAGCACCAGGCAGTTGGTGAGTCAGCACCTGGCAGTTGGTGAGTCAGCACCAGGCAGTTGGTGAGTCAGCACCTGGCAGTTGGTGAGTCAGCACCAGGCAGTTGGTGAGTCAGCACCAGGCAGTTGGTGAGTCAGCACCTGGCAGTTGGTGAGTCAGCACCAGGCAGTTGGTGAGTCAGCACCTGGCAGTTGGTGAGTCAGCACCAGGCAGTTGGTGAGTCAGCACCAGGCAGTTGGTGAGTCAGCACCTGGCAGTTGGTGAGTCAGCACCAGGCAGTTGGTGAGTCAGCACCTGGCAGTTGGTGAGTCAGCACCAGGCAGTTGGTGAGTCAGCACCAGGCAGTTGGTGAGTCAGCACCTGGCAGTTGGTGAGTCAGCACCAGGCAGTTGGTGAGTCAGCACCTGGCAGTTGGTGAGTCAGCACCAGGCAGTTGGTGAGTCAGCACCAGGCAGTTGGTGAGTCAGCACCTGGCAGTTGGTGAGTCAGCACCAGGCAGTTGGTGAGTCAGCACCTGGCAGTTGGTGAGTCAGCACCAGGCAGTTGGTGAGTCAGCACCAGGCAGTTGGTGAGTCAGCACCTGGCAGTTGGTGAGTCAGCACCAGGCAGTTGGTGAGTCAGCACCTGGCAGTTGGTGAGTCAGCACCAGGCAGTTGGTGAGTCAGCACCAGGCAGTTGGTGAGTCAGCACCTGGCAGTTGGTGAGTCAGCACCAGGCAGTTGGTGAGTCAGCACCTGGCAGTTGGTGAGTCAGCACCAGGCAGTTGGTGAGTCAGCACCAGGCAGTTGGTGAGNGTGCACTGCACCGCGTCCAGGTGGTGCACTGCACCGCGTCCAGGTGGTGCACTGCACCGCGTCCAGGTGGTGCACTGCACCGCGTCCAGGTGGTGCACTGCACCGCGTACAATTGTTCAAGTCAACAGCAACAACAGCACATTCACAATACAAACAACATATTTAACATCAAGTCTTCATGTTAAACGAAAAATTATTGCCTCTGTAACGTTGAACTTGAAGAATTGCGACGCCTTGCAAAGACCTGCCGGTACACAGATCAATTATGTTTAATTCCATGTTAATTGTAAATACATGCAGATGAGTTTATTATAGTTATATATGATTATAGTTATATATGATATTCTCTTGCTACATAATTCTCAGACAATGTGAGTGTTACATTTATGCGCAATGCGTCCTCACATCACGCAGCGATGTGAGTCGACGAAAATTCAAATATGCGTTGCGATCTCAGGACGAATTGAACTGTGAATATTTGTTGCATGTCCTAATAAATGTAATAATTATTACCATTGTTCATTATTCTTAACATGATTATATTGTATAATTGTAAACATTATATTGTAAATTTTATGCATGACAGTTATTCCTTGTCAAAAGCTGCAGGGTAAGAAGTAGCAAATAAACTCAAGTCTTTATTAAGGTTAGGGGAGTTGAACAACATATAAATCTAAGAATTACTTCATAAAAACGGTGGAATAGAAAGAACACGTTTCATTTGAATATTAAAAAGAAAGCTATATTTCAAAGTCGACCCCGATTTCATACGGAATTTATTCATACCTTCCATTAAAGGTTAATATCTAGAGTAATTTAAATCCTCGCTCGACATGAGCACGGGATTTTAAATATAATAACGGTTCCTGGAATTTAACCGCCATAGATTAAATGAAGACTTGCCAATAAATCGCCCAAGAATTGCACTCGGCAAAGGACGCCATTTAGCAAACCTTTACTATATCAAACGAGGACCATGGCTATCTTTGGTCGAAATCTGCCCAGCAGGTCAAAGCTTCAAAATTTGGCTCAAAATTGCGTAGAAGACTCAATTCGGCCTCATTTATTGATACATATCATTGGTTTCGCTAAGAACTTGATCAACACATCGGCACAACACCGGCTCGCCTTCAGCGAGAAGGAATGAAACCGACGAGCCTTCAAGGTAGAGGCAGGAAGCAGGCCTGCATCCTCAGCTAAGGCATAAGCTACGTGGGTTGCCTCATGATAAGAGAGCCCATTGATAAGTGATAAGAAATATGCCCACTGATAAGAACATCCGGATGGGACCTTATCAATAGGTGCGTTCGACACTTATATCATCCGGCAATAGCGTAAATAAATGTGTGAAGCATGAACTTACATTAGCGTGCCTTCTGTTTCTAGTTGTGACGTGTTGTCATTTGTAAACGATGGTTGCACTTAATAATAATAATAACAATTTGCCGGTGACATTGAGAGTGCAGGCTTTGGTACAAATAAAGGGAACATGCTTCTGTGGCCCCGTAAACAAAGTCGGGTAAGACATGTTACTTAAAAACGATCAAATTTCTGTCATCATCAACACCTAAAATTTGATAACAACTACATGAGACTCAGAGGAGGAAGAGTTTCCCTACTTGAACCTTAATGGTCGCGTCTCATAATTATTTTTGTCCAGGAAACAAACATACTCGTTACAATAATCAATACGCTCTCGTCTGCTCATTCCGAGACACAGACACCTTACAGCTATTATGTGAGAATTTTTAATATCATTACTTGAAATATTTAAAGGTTTCTCATCGCGTGTCAGCAGAAATTAGGGAACCTATGAGGTCAACCAATTCGTTCACTTCAGTGTAACATCAGCTATATAAGCCGTTCAAATAACAATAAGCATACTTTAATTAATTGATATTTAAATTTCTGCCTTCAAAATAAAAGAAAAGTGACGAGATATAATCAAATGCAGTAAGTAGTGAGTACATTTGTTTTGTGGCGATGGAAAAGTTCAAACGTATTGCATGAAACTCAACGTAGAAAGCAACAGAACAAAGATCTTGTTTGGAAAGCGTACGTTTCAATTGCAGACTCTCGTGTTAATGTTAAAAATGGATATTTCTTGATTTATAAGATCCTGGTTTAAAAGTGTCTAAGTTACAGTTTGTTACTGAGCCTGCAGACAGAAAAATATATAGACAGGGAAAAGCGTATATAGACAAAAGAGACAGAGAGACGAGTATATCCACAGGTGACAAGAAATTCGCTAATTGGATTGACGGAAAGGAGATTAAAGGTCATCTCAACAAGAATAAGACCTAAACTAGGCTAGGCCAGAAAATAAATCTATTTATACCACAATTTCGCTCATACTCTTGGATTCTACATTAAAATTTTTTTCGTGGAACATCTAATTAAGTTACACCGAACATCTAGACTTAGGTTTAGGCAACAGCTACCAAACAAATGTTTGTTCTACCGTAGCAGAGAAATTAATCCTAGTGGTACGATGCCAGTTACGATAAAATGATGCCCCTGATAATCTCAACATTACTAACATCACGTGATAACTTATCCCTAATTAAAGATAAAAATAATAAAGATAAAATGTGAAATAATATTATTCCAGCTTAATTTATTGATCTAAAATTATAAGCAAAAACTATCTCACTCATGAGATGCAAGGCACTGCCGGCAACGTGGACGATTCCTTTACAATAAATTCTGGCTACGTAATAATAGCGTTCTCAATGCACAGCAATAATTACCGTTGTAGCTTTCTTAACCTATTCTTCATACAACATTAATTGTAAACATGTATGCAGGTAACACTTGAATGAGATAAGAGAAGAAACATCAGTGCAAAAAATACACCAAAATGCCATGCATTTCCACGACTTATTTAACTCACTTATCAATACAAATTTTCATATTGTGAAGGAACAAATGGATATCCTGAAATAAACGACTTTACGCTATTATATTTGGAGGCTGATATATCTTCCAGGCACATAATGCATTAAAGAATCGGATCGTTACTTGCGCTGCACATACATACATAACAGGTATTAAAAAACATTGAAATCTGACCGAGTAAATGACTGGAGATGACTTAAGGCCCTGATTGAAAGCCGAGAGGCTTCGAACAGGCTCGGCTCTTCCCTAAGCGTTTCTTCACTAATTAGGATAGACTTTACTCCACTCGCAAATGAGATGGCGATATGGATTTTTCCATACTTACCCAGCTATTTATTTATAAGCGTCGACCAGTAAAAAAAAATATGTAAACTTTGTATTAAAATAGTTTTAATGAGAGGAAATTTCAAGAAACTTTGAATATTATTGTTCATCAAATCTGCGACTTTTACACTTTTTTCGAGATATAAACGGGTTGTAATTTTTATTGTCAATTGAATGGTATATTTGGCATTCCTTGATCAGCTTCCTTGTTATAGATATTTTCCACCAAAAAATATTTATGATCGAGTCTGCTGATACGCGGAGGGAAAATCCCGCATACTAGCTGCTCAAATGGAGACGTTGTGCAATGTTTGACGGGAAAGAGACGTCGTAAATTACTCCAACTGTCAGTTCACAACGGGTGGCATGGTAAAGGCGAAGTCAATGAGGGGCGAAGAATAATACGTGGCCAGTGGTCGGCCTATCCAATGAGTTATAGCCGACCGTTGGCCATTCCTCGGCCACCTGAAAGCGACCAGTTGCCGCGAAGAATTGGGTCTGGCTAGGATATCATATTACAAAGAGTACAAGCTCGAGGGTAGCGACTGGCCGAGCTTTGGGCAGATCAAGGATTTTACACGATGGTCGCGAAAACCTCGCTCTCAGACTTCGCTGCATTTTGACTACAAGCCTTAACAGTTGGGATTTATTCCAACGCAGAAGTTGAACATATGTCCCGGTGACAGTGAGCAAGAGTCAGCACTGAACAAGAGTCAGCACTGTACAAGAGTCAGCACTGAACAAGAGTCAGCACTGTACAAGAGTCAGCACTGTAGAAGAGTCAGCACTGTACAAGAGTCAGCACTGTACAAGAGTCAGCACTGAGCAAGAGTCATCACTGTACAAGAGTCAGCACTGTACAAGAGTCAGCTCAGCACCTGGCAGTTGGTGAGTCAGCACCAGGCAGTTGGTGAGTCAGCACCAGGCAGTTGGTGAGTCAGCACCTGGCAGTTGGTGAGTCAGCACCTGGCAGTTGGTGAGCCAGCACCTGGCAGTTGGTGAGTCAGCACCAGGCAGTTGGTGAGCCAGCACCTGGCAGTTGGTGAGTCAGCACCTGGCAGCGGGTGAGTATCATCAGATAAGAGTGGATGAGTAAGCTGGAGCATTGTATGCTTGCATCGAGTAAGTTAACATTGGAGGGACTAGTTGGCTCAATTCCAATTTATTTAATTCGAGAGCATGTGAAATAATCTGACAACATATTAGAAATACTTAGATAACATGTTATTTTTTGTCCCCCAGACTCGATAATCGATCTCGAAGGCACGGACAGGACGGTGCTGGGGGCGTACCTCAGCAGGACGGGCAGCGAGTGAGTCTGATGAGTCCTGAAGGAGTGATTCAGTTAAATGTGTGACGGTAGTGAGTTGAGCTAAGCGTGAGTTGAGCTAAGCGTGAGATAAGCTAAGCGTGAGTTGAGCTAAGCGTGAGTTGAGCTAAGCGTGAGTTGAGCTAAGCGTGAGATAAGCTAAGCGTGAGTTGAGCTAAGCGTGAGTTAAGCTAAGCGTGAGTTCTGTCTCTTATACACATCTAGATGTGTATAAGAGACAGGTACAAGAGTCAGCACTGTACAAGAGTCAGCACTGTACAAGAGTCAGCACTGAGCAAGAGTCAGCACTGAACAAGAGTCAGCACTGAACAAGAGTCAGCACTTTGGGCAGGAAAATTTGCCAAAAATCACATGCATCACAAAAACAGAACTGTAGTATAATCATAGGTGGGCTTTGAGTGTTCGAGTAATGAACATATAACATGCAAACATACATTAAACCGAAGAAATAATTTATAAAAAACACACAAAATAGAAATCCAAATTTAATCATAAAACTCATCATTACGATCTAATTTTCATCAAATTAAATACGTTGCAGAATATCCCAAATTTCCCCTTAACGAACTAAAATAATTAAATTTCAAGATGTCAAACTTTTTACGTACAATTAAAACGATTATTATTTCAAGACAGACAGGGCCAACATGTTCACAAAATATTAGCATACATTACACGATTTATTTATTTAAGGTCACTTGATAACATGCTTAACTGAATAATTGCTCATTATTGCTTGTATCGGTGATATTAGTATATCCCATTCATCTTTCCGCTACGATCTGTAACGTCATCTCCCTTTAAAAATATACTTTGAATCGCTTAGGACATCCCTTACACTTGCACGTCAGGGCCGTGGCCGCAAAGGCTACGAGTATCCTGCACATCCTAAAAACCTTGCTTGGCATCAACTTGGACTTCTCGAAGGAGGACATAATGGCCACATACCAGACCATAAAGCATCCAATCCTCAATAACGCAGCTTCATTCTGATACCCCATCGCCTGCCACACCACAGTTGTAGGCCTTCAAAATACTTAAAATATGGCCTTTAGGTTAGCCACAGGTTGTCTCAAGCTGACTCCAATCGACCACCTTTATACAGAGCCTGGCATTCTTCTCTTGTACAAACGGCTAGATTTGCCTTGTTCACAATTCCTTCCTAGCGTCCTACAACCTTGCCATCCTTCTTTTCATAAAGTCTTCGCCCTCCCCCAAATAAATTAGTACAAGTAGGCTCGCATCGTATTTAGAATTGGCCAACTTGTGACGTCCTCTTGCAAACGGCATTATGCCCACCAGCTCCTACAGGGATGCGGATCGTACCCTCCACAAGCACTATGACGAGAATAACGACGTGGTCCTGGCTGCTCCTCCGCCCCAGATTGCCTCACTTCCCCGCACCCTCCGCTCGGCGCTGGGTCAGTTCAAGCTACTGCAGCTGCCTAATGCCTTGTAATTATAGAGTGCGATTGCTTATAAATATAGAGTCGGACGCTCACAAAGTATCGCATGCCCTGAACAGTCTACAGCACATTGATGCACCAATAACCTTATTTCTTAAGAAAATCCAGATCTGAATAATACGGTTATTGACAATAGCCGTATGAGCACGGAAAGCGTTCCACTTATCAAGAAAATACTTTGATCGAGGTAACCTATTTAAATATTAGGTTTCAACATACATGGAGATTATACAGCCATTCTTGGTGCGAGATTCAAACGAATACATACCTATAGGACTCATTTAAATACCAACAAAATTACGAAAAACATGAAGATCATTAAGACTACATTTCATGCCTATTTAAAATAGTACCAAGTTATAGTAGAGACTCCACGCATATAACATTAGTAAGGCAACAATTTATCTATTGCATATAGAGCGTACCTCTCTAGCCAATGTTTTCAACTTAATAATTAAGGTATTCCTACGAAGCCCAATCAGTAAAAATGATAATTTCTTACAGATAACAGACAAAACGATAAAATTCAGACTTAATGAAACGCATACAGCGTCAAGAGATTCATGGATTAAAGGGCCAACAATAAAATTCATTACGAATAACATTCTACAACTAATGCAACTAATGTAGTCGATCTAATGAGATGCAATGACACTGAACACTAATGAAAGCCTAAAAAGGAGACACCGATCTCTGGAAGCCGATTAAGTTTGGCACTAATTTGAGATTCGCGATCGATTGTCCGTCATGACAAAAGCACACCCGATAGCCGCCACACGAGGACCAGTTATAAAGTTAAAATAAGATCGATAGAATAGGTAGAAATTGCTTAGCCTTAGTGGCATATAGATACGAAAATAAAATGAAGCACGATGAATGGAGATATTTTAACAGGTTCAACGATAGAAAAATATAATACGAGAGGATAAAAGATATTATTATAATGAAAAGAGACTGCTTTTGATAATCAGCAGCCAGACATGAAGGCTGCTGCAGCAACAGCATAGGAAGGAGTAGCAGCACCACAGGGAAGCTGTAGCGGCAGCATAGGAAGGCTGCAGCACCAGAACAGGAAGGCTGCAGCACAGCATGTGAAGGCTGCAGCAGCAGCAGCATGTGCAGGCTGCAGCAGCACAGCACGTGAAGGTTGCAGCAGCAGCACTCTTCTGCCGCACCTCCCTGCCGATCAAACGCTTGTCGCGGCTGCCGCCTCGATCTTCATGCCACGCACTAAGCCGTTCACGTGCAGGAACTGCAATATTACTCATCACGTCAATGTATTTATGTAAAACATCATATCACTTATTTTGTATACTTGCTATTTGAGGTTCAACATGTTACTTTTACTTTTTAATAGCAGATTCCTTTTCATTTTACTATTCAAATATGTATATCACACTCGAAGCCTAACCCGGCTTTGTTCGGATCAGATGATTCTCGAGATTGAAGTGGAATAAATATACAAATAAATAATTTTAAATAGAATTCAAGTTAATATTAATGGTGACAAACTTTGTGTCTTCCAATCGAGCTCCCAGCCAACCTAATTTTGCAAGCCTCAGGTGTTTCTCACTCTTAAAAATCCCGAAATGGCGTGTTTTGCGGCTACGCGCTCCGATAGCTTTTGTTATTATCTCGCCAGGCTTCAAACAAACACATTAAACGAATAAAATTTTACCAATTTTATTAATATCTCTCATGAAAATCGAGTATGCAAATCTCTCGTCTAGTTTCTTAACAGAAAGGAGTTTATAGCACCAAAGGTATCGTTGCGAACGCTTCAATTTAGTTAAAATTTTATAACTCAATTATTACTCAAATGAACCGATTCCGGCAACAACGCCAAAGCAATTGAAAATTTAAAGGAATGAACATTTAACTGACGTTATCTGCTCTTTACCAAGTAATTCTGCAATGCAATAATAAACCATTAGACGAAAATAAAATCTGTGCTGACAGAGTTAGGGATTGAACTAGCGAGCTACAGTTCAGTATCATTGTAGACTTTGCACTTTCATTGTAAGGAGAACCTGAAAAAATTTGCAAACAATTTCACTACAGAGATTAATAGCATACCTGGAGTACGGCCAGCAGGAGCAAGAGTATCCCTGTGAAGATGTAGGCGAAGTCTTCGCTGTCCCTGGGAACGTCGTCAATGAAGGTGCCAAGCGCCCCGATGACGCCCAGGAGAGACTCGATGATCACATATCCGGCGACCTGAACATAAAAAATGTAACTCAGTACTCACTGCAGTGAGTGACAGAGAGCGCATTTTCTCGTCGACAAAAACGTGGTCACGGACGGACAGACCCACGGACGGACATGACGAGCACAATAGCGCCTTTTTTCCATAAATGATAAAATGCGCTAAAAATTAGCGCGATAAAATCAAGGGATTCTAGCAAAATCAAACAATTTTCGCAAATAACAATTTTTGTTCACACATTTGATGCCTAGTTCTTATTCTAAAACAATTGAGAGATTATTCGAGGCTCGGTCATTAGGTAGCGAGATCTATCAAGTCCAGATCATGGAGAAGATCTATCAATTCCTGATCATGGAGAAGATCCATAATTCTTGCCCTAATCGACGATGAGAAAGACCAACAAGACCTCTTCCGATCGATCACGAGAAGAGATCAGAATTCTTGTCCTAACCAAACATTAGGATAATCTATTATTTTGTCAGCAAGAAACCCGATATTGTGGATTAGGTTATTTTGTCAGTGATAAACCCAGAGAAGCCTTGGGAGTTTGCACCACAATTCTGACCTGCACAGGTGAGGGGTCAGGCACAGGCCTGCGGGTGCACAGCATGGTTACGAGCGCGGGACCCGAGCGCAACACCACGCAGGCGCCCACGCACAGCACGATGATGGGGCCCCATTTCCGGTAGGAGTAATGGTTCATCACCAGGCCAGGGTAGTTCACTAGCACCACCACCAGCCCCAGCACCTGTAGTTACAAATTGGTCAGGACATCATCAACAGTTTAGAGTAGTTCACCAGCAACATCCTTAGAAGTAGTGAAGCAAGGGTTGCTGTTACATGTCTGATTTTATATTTGTGATATCAGGGATGATGACATAAGAGGTTATACCAGAACCAATAAATATTGATAATTATGCAGGCATGAATTTTAGAATTTTAGTTAGAATGCAGGCATGAATTTTCTCAAAGTATGGCGTACGTTTAACCTACCACGAGTATGACACGGCGCTAGAGGCATCTGCTACGTACATGGTAAGGTGCAGTAGCGCTTACCACTTACATCGTAGGACTCTGGTGGCAACAACCATGTATAAGATAACCTACCTCACAGACGACACGACACAGTAGCACCCACCGAGTAGATGGTATGCCGCAGGAAGGGAGGACACCTGGTGGCCAACTGCCGCAACGTCCACCGATGGCCAGCAACAGCGGCGGTCACACCACCGCTGGCCGCCGTCGTGTGCTCGGGCACCAAGGAGGAGAAGCTGCCGCTCCTGAAGAGTCTGTTGTAGATGGAGGAGCCGTTGGCCTGCTCTCCTGACGAGGTGGTCGTAGCGACGGACGTCTCGACGGTGGCGTGGTGGTCGTGGTCGAGCCAGAACTGAGCGGAATGTCAAAATTTTAGCAAATGATTTGAATGAACTTGACTACATCACACTTTTTAACCACGGTTTTGGCTTATTCCACGGTTTTGGCTCACTTAACGTGGGCCAAACACGGTTTTGGCTCACTTAAACCTGCAAATTAACCTTAAAAAAATGATACGGCTTACCTTAATAATCCAAGGCTAACATGCCCATTCTGGAAAAACGATCTAACAAGTCCATAATCACTCAAAAGAAACCTCACCAAACATTCCACAAGATTTCTAACGAACCACATGCCACGCAGCCTGCCTGACCTGCTTGAACAAGTTGGGCGGAGCGTTGACGAGATGCGGCAACCGCAAGCTGAGGATGCCATGCAGCAGCGGCAGAGCGGTGGCCACAAACAACCACACCGTCCAGCCGTGCGCCGCGTACTGCCAGCTCACGTTGTCCGACGGCACGATTCTGATGGCCACGAACGTCAGGAACAGCAGCGCTGCCACCACGATGTTCTCCACGCCAAACTGAGCATTAAGATAATGAGCTTAGGAGTAACGAAGAGACAAGAGATAACAGTGAAATAGAAAAATATTCACGCGAAAATTAAGAACAAATATGAATGAAACAAATATTAATATTCAGATGCAAAGAAGGAAGTGCCAATGAAAATGAGGAAAAAAATATTTAGGAACACAGCAAAGATTTTCAGTACCTATTCTTATCTGGCAGGGGAGCTGCAACACAAACTTGGCTTATTCATACAAATTTGGAACATATAGTTACTAATGAACACGACATCCCAGTCATTTGATGCTGTTGCAGGCCCAGGATGGCTTCAGTGCCAATCAATTACTTTGTGGAGATTAGTTGAATTAAGAGCACAACAATCAAATGTCTCGCACCCTCAGCTGTCGACGGTGTTTGATATAAAAGAAGTCATTCATAAATTTCCAGGAAATTGACTGGTTAAGATACGTGAATGAGTTACAGATACAAGAAAATCAAAAGCACAACGTAACAGAGAGCATCTAACTATAATTGTAGTCAGCCAGGTTGAATGAAAAAGAGAGCCTTGTAAACAGAAATATCATGTTTATTAACGTTACCACTTCGCTTCTTCCCTTTACCGTTTCGCAGTGCATCGTATGCCAGAAGACGTCCATGATGTTCTCTCTCTCTAAACACCGTACCATCGTCACCACACTCACCATTTTGCGGTGCACCACACCCCAGAAGACACCCATGATGTTCCCTATCACTCTCCACACCCTACCGTCGTCACCACCCTCACCATCCTGCGGTGCACCACACCCCGGAAGACGTCCATGATGTTCTCTCTCTCTCCACACCCTGCCATCGTCACCACCCTCACCATCTTGCGGAGCACCACACCCCAGAAGACGTCCATGATGTTCTCTGTCTCTCCCCACACCCTACCATCGTCACCACCCTCACCATCCTGCGGTGCACCACACCCCAGAAGATGTTCATGATGTTCTCTCTCTCTCCCCACACCCTACCATCGTCACCACTCTCACCATTTTGCGGTGCACCACACCCCAGAAGACGTCCATGATGTTCTCTCTCTCTCTCCACACCCTACCATCGTCACCACCATCACCATCTTGCGGTGCACCNGCGGTGCACCACACCCCAGAAGACGTCCATGATGTTCTCTCTCTCTCTCCACACCCTACCATCGTCACCACCCTCACCATCTTGCGGTGCACCACACCCCAGAAGACACTCATGAGGTTCTCAATGAGTGCACAGAAGTTGAGGAGGACGCTGATGTCAGCAAGGCACTGCACTGCAGCAGGGAAGGGCACAAACCACATGCCCAGGCAGATTGAGCTGGGCACCTGAGCAACAATTTCTTCATCAGCTTAATCAGATGCTAGAACATACGGTGAAATTTTAGGAATATTGGTTTTATATTCAAGATCGATCTATTCTGGTGAATTGAGTACGTATATATTAGCTAAAAATAACAGATTTTAAATTCAATATGATATGTGCACTAGTTCATATATTGCCACTCCTGAATTCTACCCTGCACAAACTACCGTACATACTGAAGCAAAGTAAAATATTGTTTGAATGATGACGCTATATATATACTGTATACTTACCAATCTGGAGAGCAGCAAGAGGCTGTCACAGGTAAAGAAACGTAAGAATTGACTCTTGGGCCAACTGCTGTCATTGCCATGCAAAATGTTGCAGTTCAGAATAGCCTGGTTGAGAACATAATTAGACTAAACCACATTTTAAATACTTGATAAAAATAGGTATTTCAATTGACAAAAAACCAAAATATAATGCAATAGGAATAGAAAGGAGAGACAGGGAATGAAGAATGTACATAACATAATGATTGACCTCATAAATGCCAGAATAAAGAATTAACACAGAAATTTACATTGGATATACTCAGATAACTGCCATGAGTGCAGTAATGGGGTACAACATCAGCACAATTACTGACCATGATGGCAAAGACTGCCATGAGGCCCATGTTTATTATGATGCTGAGGGCGGCAGGGATGACCCACACAAAGCCAGCAACTGAAGGGCCAAGGCTGTAGAGGTAGCCATTGAGGTGCAGCATGAAGAGTACCAGACTAGTGTGGACAACCTGCATGTACAAATTATACATATATTACGAATTATTCAATTAAAAAACTATTTCCTATTTCATAAACATACGTATCTTATACACTCACATAATGCAATGTTTTTATATTTTTTGGAAATTAAGCACAGTTAAGCCGGCAACTCACCATTGTAGATTCTTCACATAGAGATGGTGACAAATAGACTCCAATGAAGAGCATCAAAGTTATTATTGCAGATGCAATATTGAACGTAATTTCATGAGGCACATCTTTCAAGGGATATAAGTTTGATGAGTTCAAGTGTGATGCAAACCCAATGGAGCCAGAGACAGCTCCAATGCTGCCAAGAATCTGTGAATAAAGTAATTAATTTTATTATACCATTTGAGATTCAATCATTCAAGAAAATATTGATTAGGTACTACAGAAAACTTGGATTGCCACATGATCAATTAGTAAATAATTAGAATCAGTGCACAATTTTCTCAAATTTAAAATCTCCTGCTAATTTAACACCTTCTCAATGACTGACTTTCTTGAGGGTTAATTGAATTTTAATTAGAATTGGTTTACATCCAATCCAATATATTACCTATTGTTTACAAATCAGTTAGCCAGTATGTTAGCAAAATGCACACTTGAATTAAATGATAGTACATAAATAAATTCTACCACTAGGACAGACCATAAGTAAGAGGAAACAACAACTAGCCAAACACTATTTCTAATTCATTCAACAAAAATCTAAAACCACAAGCTATAAAACAACATACAAAAGCTGTGCCAAGAAGTAGCAAGATGCCTCTTTGAGACTGAAAGTCCACAAGTCTTCTTCTCATCTCCAACAAGACCTGTAGTGGAAATTAGAGGGTATATTATAGAAAAAAATAAACAAATTAACAATGGCCAGGTTATTCAAAATAGAATCAGATGTTTTTGAAAATATTTAATATCAATTCTCTAGGTACTAGTTCCATAAGATTTAATATTATGCATAAAAAGGCACTTGTATTGTCAAAACCTTCCAAAATATCAGTTTGCCAAAGGTAGGTACCGTAAAATGGTGTAACTTTGACCACTTTTTTTTTCAAAATGATGCCATTTTTTTACTAGATAAGTTAAACTTAAATTGAAACATGCAAAATACAGGTCTATACTCTAGCTTTACTTACCATAAATTGCTGGCTCCTGCCTCTCATAGTTTTGATGTAATTCAAAAAAAAAAGTGATGGTCTTTGTTACCCCAACTCTTGGGGTTTCTTTGACCGGGTGGTAAAATCAATTTTATTTTTTTTATGAAATAACTCCAAATAACTCCATGTATGGTACTGTAGTAGAACCCTTCTATTTACATATGCAAAGGAAAATTTTTAGGAAAGTGTCATAGTTTGCAAATGGGGGGCGCCGCCCCCAAATGGGCAAAATGTGACCATCTAATGGCAGCCGTGACGGGGTAACATTGACCGGTTTGGAAATTAAGTTAAAATTACCATATATAAGACTCTGTAGCGTCTGAAACATGAATAAAAAAAACATTAATAAGTGTATCAAACATAAAATATGTTATATAGGTACCTATGGTGATTTTAACTTAATTTCCAAGGCGGTCAATGTTACCCCATCACGGCTGCCATTAGGTGGTCAAAGTTACCCCATTGGGGGGCGGCGCCCCCATTTGCAAACTATGACACTTTCCTAAAATTTGTCTTTTGCATATGTAACTAGAAGAGTTCTACTACAATGCATCAAAACCTGGAGTTATTTTACCAAAAAATATAAAAGTTGCAGGGGGTACTCCGACAGGCTTTAAATAATAGCTCTTTTTTGTGGGTCACATTTTTAATTTTTTAACCTATTAGATATGCAAACTTTTTAAATCTTTCTATTGTGTTACGTAGCCTCAGTAGTCAGTATTAGGCCTTTAATGTCCATTGACAAAATTTTTCTATGTCAAATAGTTTTTGAGTTTTGGGGTTTTTGTTAAAAAACCGAAAGTGGTCAAAGTTACCCCGGGAGTCAAAGTTACCCCAGTTTACGGTACCTATATAGTATTTGATGCTAAGACCATAAAAATACTTGTGCATAGCAGAAGTTTGTAAAATATTGTGGCATATTGTCTTAAATTGCCTATAGTAGCCTAAAGTTATAGTAAGGCACCTTTATTATAGCTTTGCCATCCAAGTATTGAGTTGAAACAAGTCTTGATCTACCTATATTTTTGGTATCAATATTAGAGGTTGATGCCCATTAGGAATATCAGGCAGAAGTTTACTAAAATTGCAAGTGAAAACAATTGTTTCATGAGTAATTTTTACAAAATTGTGAGAAAAACAGGTTGTTCTTTTTTCATTTTTTCCTAAAGAAATTGGGAAAAGGATGTAGGAATGGGTAAATAATAAAAATGAGATTTTAATTCAAGAGATTTTGTATTAAATACCAATTTTGGCAAACACTTAGTCCACAATGGTATCTGGACTATGTAGGTGAGATTTGAGAGTAGGTCTAACTTTCTAAGACTCCAACCTGAGAAGCTCGGCGCCTCGGCCACCTAATCCTAATTATTAGATAAACATGAATACACAAATTTCTTAAATTATTGCTTTTAAATTTATGTATTATAAAAATTTCACTTACCATAATGCATTTGATTTTAGCAATGCTAGCTGGGTGCAAATACTTTGCCAACACAAGGCAAAACAGTCAAAATTTTTCTTTCTTTTTCTTTGTTTGATGTTGATGGAGCTCTGGAGACTCGTCCAAGCTAGCTCGTTGACGTGATAGTGCTCAAGGTTTGTGCAACTGTAAGCAAAAACCAGAGATAAGACACTGTACAAAGTAGGCAATAGGCATATTAGGAGACTGCTTCTACCAGTACTAGACAGTACAATCAATGATTTATGATAAATAATGTAGAGATATTTGTTTGAGCAATATAGCTGCTTTATTATAGCATTATATGCACATTTTATCCCAGGTTAGTGACTTCTGTCTGCCGGTCTGACATGCCCTGAACTGTGCCTTAGTAGCCTTACATGAGAATGATGAGATGATGAGATTGCAGATTCTACTGAACAACTGAAGGTCTAGCATGGGCAGCACAGCCTGTAAGGCTGTAGGCTGGAAGTTCTTCTGAGTTCTGACCAAGTTAATTGATCTAGAAATGTGAGACAGTGAGTAAGTTAAGTTTATGCTTTAGTAGCTTTACAAAAACATAAATCCTAGTCCTATAGAAAGAAATAAACAAATGAAGGATCAATGAATAAAAATTAATTTAAGATGAACAGCAGCAATTTTTACAAAGACAATGAGTAGTCACAAGTCACATACCTAAGTTATAAGTCATAACCTATATACCAGTACCATATAGTTATAATTATAAGCTATATAGAAAAGTTCAAATGAAAAACTGGACAACTGGTCCAATTTACCATCCCAACTCCTAAGATGACTGCAGTCTGCACCATAGTGACAAACCAGAGATTTTTTAGAATCAATTCATTTTTAATTTCCTCATTTACTCAAGACTTAAACCAATTTCTTATGTAAGATAATGCTGGTATCCATGATACTTTACTGGTCTACTTATAGGACTCAAAAATGAACTTGAGGGTGAGTCTAAAAAACTCTCTGCTTTGCCACTATGGTCTGCACTCTGCAGACAGTCTGAGACAGAGACAGTGATTTTATCCTCACATTGGCATTTTGTTCAATCATCAATGCCAGTTCATGTTCAGCAGCCAGTAGGCAGTAGCCAGAAGAAAGTTAGATAGCTACTAAATGAATAGGATACTATAGTCTATAGATAGTTAGTTTCCCCCAAAATTTAATTATAGTTGGTTGAATTGGCACTTGCCACTAGGCACTAGCCACTAGGTAACCAAAGTCCAATCACTCCAATGTCTGTGACTGTGAGTCTGTCCAAAGATATAGCGTTACTTAGAAGTTAGAGTCTAACAATAACATTAGAGTTAGAGACCAGAGTAAATGAAAAGTGTTAGTAGGCTAGTAGCTGATAAAAATACATTTAGAGCATTCAACATCAAGTTCTGGATGGGACTAAGATAAGGGCCTCCTGAGCCAAGTGCACTGTGCAAGTAGGTTATGCAGCATAACATTGCAAGGCCAGACTGACTGACAAACCGTCACAGTGGTCAGTGTGGGCCCTAATGCCAGCATGACCGTTCAAAAATCAGTGCGGCTACTAGCAAGTGTCTTTTTCTTTTCCTGATGTCCACGCGGGTGGACTTAAAGCCACAGGAGAACCGCAAGGGTGACCGTTGAGCCTGAGAGAGAGAGAGCCAGTGTCTGACTTTGAGCTTGAGTGCTTGACATAAAAATCCGGGTCAACGCCAAATTCCTTGCTGTCGGAAACCATAGACGGATTGTTGGATGTTGGATAATTTTTATTGGTGTAAAAAAATTTGAGAAGTAGCAAGGCTCAGATATCATTTTAACTGCGTGTCCTGAATACAAATTGTATTCATTTTGTTTGAAGAAAATTACGTGGACTTGATGATGACAAAAAATGACATTTTTTAAAAGATCAGCGGGCAGGTGAAAGATTAGTGGGCAGTGTGGCCCAGTGGTTTAAGTTCAGAGTACCAAGATTAGAGCAGAGAGGTGCGGGTTCACGTCTCGGGCAAATTTGCTCTGTGGCGCCAGTTTCTGGTCGGAATCGGCAAGGAGGCCGGGCGGTTAAGGGGACCGGGCTGCCCCCGGAGAAACTTCTACAGTTATTATCCGATCATCATGAAACTTCACATACATACTTAAAATGTA